CTACTTGGGCCATTGGGTCAAGTCTAAGTTATTTTGTAGATATTGGAGGACAACAGCTAAGTGGGGGGCTGGCTGAACCTCCCAGAGGTGGCCCTGACTTGGGAGGAGGCAGGCGAGCGAGTGTTGTGCCTGAGAAGAAAGTCCAAAGTCAGACTCTTCTCAGAAAGCCGAGAGAGTCGGCCGGCCCTTGGTTTTCTTCTGGGTCCGTCATGAAATTGTTCCGCCCTCTGAGCACATTTTAATGGCAGTTATCTAATTAACAATAGCCTGGTGTCTGTGGGGCAGACTACCGTGTTTCCCCGAAAATAAGACATCCTCTGAAAATAAGACCTACTTACAGGTTTCCTTCTGAGTGAAATATAAGGCATCCCCCTGAAAATAAGGCCCCCTTAGGCTAAACATGAGAGATTTGGTCCACTGATTCTGAAAGAAATGGAGTCACAAGAAATTCACCAGGAAATTCAGGAATTGGATTGTTATGATGATGTTCCAGAAGATGATGACATGATTGTCATTGAATGAATGAATAAATTCTTGAAACTGTATGATTCACAGTTTGTCTGGTTTGTGTTGACAACTACCGTACTACCGTATACCATACCGTATACAGGTAATAAATTTCCTTTATTTTCATTTAACAATAAATGTGTACCGTATTCTTCTTCATGGAAAAATAAGACATCCCCTGAAAATAAGACCTAGCACATCTTTGGGAGCAAAAATTAATATAAGACACTGTCAAGAGCGTGGACTCCGCTTTGAAGGCCATCTCGTAACGCCTGGAAACTTGGCATCGGGCGGCTCATTTAGAATTTATGGGAGGCACTCTCGCTGTGGCTCTCGGGTGGGGAGCCTTCCACCCCTTGGTCCTTTGAACAGGGCGGACGGTTTTTACGAGGTGTGTTTCCTGTGGGATCAGGGGCCAGATTTAGGGGGTGCTTTTTTCCCTGACACCTGCTGCTGCTGGTCAGAGTGAGAAGGGATAGTTCATTGACCTGTGGGCCCTGCTTCGCTCTGACACCCGGGCCCCAGCTCCTGTCTGGAGCAGACTCATCAGAGTTTCTAGGGGGCACACGACTATTTTGGAAGTTATTCAACATGCCTTTACTTTTTACAACAAAGAGTGTAGAAAATAAAAGGGACTTAAAGAAATAAACACGGATGCTGAGGCACAGAAGATAGACTGAGAAATAACTGGGGAGGGGAAACTGGAGGTCGGGTTCTAAAAAGTGAAAAACAATGCTCTAATCAATCCTATACGATAAAAGGCCAATATGCAAATTGTGCCCTCGACTTGGAATTCAACTGAGAGTTCAACCTGAAGATGGATCAGGGAGCAGGGGCCAGCTGGCCAACTGCTCACAGTCCTCCCCCCCCAACCCCCGGTCCCCTGCTGGCCTGGCCCAATCGGCCTCAATTGGGGTGGGCTGGCCAGACCCCACCCGTGCATGAATTTGTGCACCAGGCCTCTGGTATAAAATAACTTATAAGTAAAGTCGGTGCTGCTGAGTTGTGGGGATCAATCGAGAAAGCATATTAAATCCCAGGGCCGTCAGGGACTTCATACATGATGCCTGCTGCCCTGTTAGGAGGCCCTTCTGATGTTGAAGTTCACCATTTGGTAGCTGTGTGGCACTGGATGAGTTGTTTAACCTCTCTGGGCCTTTGGTGACCGCTGTGGTTCATTTCCATGCTGCTGCCCACCGCCAGCTGGTTGGAGGGCTCCATGTATCTCATCTGCTCTGGGCAGAGCATGGCAGCCCTACAGCTGGAAAACTAACTTTTGCTTTTTAAATATATTGATTTTTTTTACAGAGAGGAAGGGAGAGGGATAGGATTAGAAACATTGATGAGAGAGAAACATTGACCAGCTGCCCCCTGCACACCTCCTACTGGGGATGTGCCTGCAACCGCGGTACATGCCCTTGACCGGACCTCTCAGTCTGCAGGCTGACACTCTGTCCATTGAGCCAAACCAGTCAGAGCGAAAATTAGCTCTTGTTAATTTTTAAGGCAGCCTAGGAGTCTTCACTTAAAGATTTCTCAAGACCTTGAACTGATGAACTTTTTACAGCAGTTTGAGCTGGACTCCACCTCCATCGCATTCAATTTTGGTTTAAACCAACGTTTTACAAGCTCTCTTTGCCTTTGCTATCCTGGCAGCTCCGAGGGAGGTGAGGGGAAGGGAAGTGCCCGAGGCTGGACCATCCCTGCAGCGGGGGTGAGGGTGAGGGTTCCTGCCATGAAGCACCGGGTGTGGGAGAGGCTGCATAGGGGAGAGGCTGCGTAGGGGAGAGGCGGGAAAGGGGAGAGGCTGCGAAAGGGAGAGGCGGGAAGGGCAGTCCCCTCTCCTGGCTGCCAGGCCTCTGTGTTGCTTGGGTTTCAGATTTGGAACCAGATTTTAGGTCACCTTCTTAAAGCTAGAAAATCATTCCAGCGGGTCAGATTTCTCTGAGCGCCTTCCCTAAGATGATCTCTACTCGGGTTTAATAAAATATTTAGAGCCCGATTGCATTTCACTTGCAGCTGCCGTTAGCGATGCTCCTGAGGTGATACAGTCCCCAGGTGCCTGCGTGGGCTGTCACAAAGCCCAACTCTAGCATCCTAGGTAAGAAGAGTTAACTAAGAAGTTACTATTTAGCCCAGAAGGGGCAGGTTTCAAAAGAGTTTATACTTTGGCCCTAAATCCCTTTGCATTCACTCCTCCCTCCACCGAATAAAACCCGTGCTACCTTCCTGGTGTTTGTCGAACTGCAAGCCAGTTCCTTGCCATGGATTTAAAACAAAACAATCCTGAGATTTTTCAGCAAATGAACGTCTTCTGTCATTGCACTAGCTTTTTCTCCAATGGAAGGGAGAACAGAGGCACAGCGTCCCAAAGTGGCCTGCATGCAGCCTCTTATGAGCCCCATAAATTATACATGCTATGAAATATTGCTCTGTGTGTGTGTGTGTGTGTGTGTGTGTGTGTGTGTGTGTGTGTGTTACCAATTCAAGGATCACGTGCCTGATATTTCATAAAGGCCAGTATTCACAACATCAGAGTTTGGAGTTAGGAAAAGTTTGTTGATCAAGAAGGCTCCAGCTTGGCCCTAACCGGTTTGGCTCAGTGGATAGAGCGTCAGTCTATAGACTGAAGGGTGGGTTCCGTCAAGGGCAGCACATCCCCAGTAAGGGTTGCGCAAGAGGCCAGCTGATCGATGTTTCTCCCTCATCGATGTGTCTAACTCTCTATCCTTTTCCCTTCCTCTCTGAAAAAAAAAAATCAAAAAAAAAAATCAAAAAAAAAATATATATATATGAAGGCTCCAGCTTGAGAAGATGGGAGGGAGTTGCCTTAAAGCGTCCGCAAATCCATCCTAAGAGAGCCCAGAATTCAGGCTTCTTTTATGTCAAGGGAAGCAAGAATGGGCAGGTAAGGGTGTGTGACACCTGGGCACCAGCAGGGATCCAAGGAAGAGTGTGAAATTTGTAAATCTCCCAGTTCCCTGGTTCCTTGACCCCTGCTGATCAATGTCTGGTCTTGAGGCTCCTGCAAATCTTTGCAGAAAGCTCAGCCTCAAGCACAATTCCTCTGTGATTAGCACATCGATAGCAGGAGCTACTTCCCTGAAGGCCTGGGAGAAATGCAGGCTAGAATTAATGCAGGCTAGAGTCAGAGAGAGGGAGCATTTCGCTCTGTCACATGTGCCTCAGTAATTGTAGAGGTCCTTTGGGCGTGGATTCAAAACCCCTGTCACCCTAGTTTTCATGGTATGGAATCTGGTCTCAAAGCCTTAGAATTTAGGCCATTTGGAGAAGAGGAGGGCTGTGCCATCATGAAACTACCAGCTCAGACTGTTGTACAGTGATTGTACCCACAGCTGCTTTCTGAAGGGTCCCTCTCTGACCCTGGGGCTGGGTCTCTGGTTTGTGAGGTCTCTAGGGTGTGTGATTCCTGTTGGTCTTGGTGGTGATAACTTTGGTGGCTGCGCTGCTCACCCATTTTAGTTTGCTCAGTTTGTATGAGGCCAGGTCCTTGTCCACTTAGTGCCTTTTCCCGCCTCTAAATATGTCACACACAATGTCAAGGCCTTGCAGAAATTTGAGGTCACCCGCGCCTCGCTCACCCACTCAGAGCTTTGCAGCCTCTTCCCTGGAACTTGGAAATGAAACTGGGTGGTGCTGAGTGCTGTGTGGGTTGAACTTGGCAAAACCAACGGCCGTTTGTGCCTGATTTGCAGGCACAGTTCTGAAGCTGCTTGTTTAGATGGGTCGTCGGTAGTTTCATGGTCATTTGTGTCCTTTTTAAAAATTAAACTTATTGGGGTAACATTGGTTAATAACGTCATATGAATTCCAGGTGTACAGCTTTAGAACCCAGTACCTGTATATTCCATTATATGCTCACCGCCTGAAGCCCAGTCTCCTGTCACCATGTATTTGACGCCCTTTACCCTCTTCATCCTCCCCCCACTCCCTTTCCCTTCTGGTAGCCACCGTTCCGTTGTCCGTATCTGTGAGTTTGTTTTATTTGTCCATTTGTTGCTTTTTTGTTTTATATTTCACCTAAGAGTGAAATGGTTCCTGTCCTTTTCTGCCTGACTTGGAGTGACACTCTGAAAGATGCACCTATGTTGTCACAAATGGCAGCATCTCGCCTTTTTCGTGGCCTAGTAATATTCCATTGTGTATATGTACCACAGCTTCTTTATCCAATCATCTGTCAAAGGGCATTTAGTTTTTTTGTTTTGTTTTTTTTTCTATGCCTTGGCTACTGTAAATAATGAACAGAGGGCACATATATCTTTACAGACAAGGGTTGTCAGATTTTTCGGGCAGGTACACAGAAGAGGGATTGCTAAAGTCCTATGGCAGCTGTAGTCTTAAATTTTTAAGGAACCTGCATTTCTGTAGTGGCTGCGCCAATTTACATTCGCACCTGGGTTCCTTTTCCTCTCTACATCCTCACTAACACCTGTTATTTCTTGTCTGATCATTGTCATTTTTATTTCTTGCAGTTTTATGTGCTGAAAGAGTTGGCCAGATGACTAAGACATACAATGACATTGACGCTGTCACTCGGCTTCTTGAGGAGGTAAGTGTTTCAGGGGAAGGGAAAGGGTCACTTATAATTTTTAAAATATTTTTTAATTTTTAAAAATATCTTTATTGATTACTGTATCACATATTTGTCCTCATCCCCCCCATTCCCATCACATACCCCTCCTCACATATGTCCCCTCCCCCTTGTTGTCCTTGACCACTGGTTAGGCTCATATGTTTGCACACAAGTCCTTTGGTTGATCTCTCCCCTTTATCCCCACCCTTCCCACCCTCCCTCTGAGGTCCGACAGTCTGATCCATGCCTCCTTATCTTTGGGTCTGTTCTTGTTCATCAGTCCATGTTGTTCACCATTTCCCCTAGATGAGTGAGATCATGTCCTACTAACTAGAAATACACTTATAAGAACCGAAAATAAGACAAGCCATAATGGTTATGCTGAGAGGCAAATGAATCAGTCTGTAGTGAATTTCTTTCTGGGCCACCAGTTCTTTTGAGACCCAATGTCAATGTCAAACAGTTCCTTATGTGTACATGTCAGCCATGATATTTCAGTTCTGGATGGTGGAGGGTCACTCATAATTGACCGGTTATAATTTATATTGATTAAAGCATGCATTACTATAAGTCTCCACGCAGAATCTTCCAAATGGGGCCTTCTCGGGGGATCACTTGGTGGCTTTATTTTTGTATCGATAGCTTTGTAGTTTTTTGTGGCCGTAAGTTTACTTATGGTATTTTAGGGTTTACAATGAATGTGCTAGTATGAATGATACAGAATTGGGTAAGCATGGAAATACTTGCTAGAATACCCAGTTTCAGATTTCTAAAAACCCTTAAAGTATGTTCCCTCAATATGTTTTCAGTTGTATCCAAAAAATATCAGAAAAGATATATCCTGACCTGTATCTTTGTAACGTATTCTTTTTTTTACTTACATCAGGTTAAGGGGATATTGTTAGGTAGTGTCACGTGGCGATCACCAAAATAAGCATGGCAGGAAGAACTTAGGAAACTCACGTAGGTTCACACCAGCTGCTGGCATGTTAGAGACACGGTCTTGTCCGTTTCTTCTCGGCACTCAGATGAGTGTAATGTGAGTATTCCCATGCCTAGAACAGGCCAGAACATGGCAGGTGCTTAGGAGGTATTTGTTGAGTAAGTGCCCATCTTTAAATATTACCATCTCTACACCCTACCACCAAACCAGGCCTTCAAGGCACCTTTAGACCCTTGTTTCTGCTCTGGAATCGAGAATGAGTTGGGTTCATGTGACCACTCCTTAGCCCTTTTCTAGGAAAAGAATAGAAGGGTGTGGGAGACACAGGAATCTTTCCCCCCCCAATCTTTAATTTCTTTATTGATTAAGGTATTATGTGACCTTATTCCCCCATTAACGTCACAACACCCCCCCCCCCCCCCCACACACACGCACACACACACTCATGTCCTCACCCCCCTGTTGAGACACAGGAATCTTTGTCGTCATTTTCAGCCACTAGCATAGGGGTGTCGAACTCAATCAGAGAAGGGGCCAAAATCTAAAATCCAGCCTAAATCGCGGGCCGAATGGTTTACTGAACAGTCATAAACTGTCATTGTGATGGAAACGCAGTGGAGTGCAGTGATGACAGCGCGGTGCGGGCCACATTGCAAGGCCTGGCGGGATGGATTTGGCCCGCGGGCCTTGTGTTTGACACATGTGCACTAGCAGGACAAGGTTGAGACACAAGACCAAGTAGCGGTAGTGAGAACCAGAATTTTTGGGGGGGAAGGGGGCATCTTTTTACCCCAGTTTTTGCCTCTCCTTCCCTGTGTTTTTCCCTTCTGCACATCCAGCACCTCCTATCTGCTCTGAGAGTCTGAGATGGGTTCCCTCTGGGTTCCTGGGGGCTCACCTGCCCTGCGACCCCTCTCCCCCTTTCTCCTGCGGGCCACCCACTCACAGGCCCAGGCGGGTGGCGTAGGGGCAGGGGCCGAGACCTGCTTGGCCCCAGGCGAGGCAGAGAAGGTACAAACTAAGCCCCCAGTGAGGGGTATTAGGGGTTTTGGCTGTGACAGGGCTGGCGGTGAGGCATGGTAGGGCACGGGCTTTCTGGGGGTGCTCCAGTCACCGCCACTTTGGTGGCTGGTGTTGGCCAAGTGGGAGGCTTTTGGAAATGGTCTGTTACAGACCCCTCGCTGCTGTGTCCATTTCCCCGAGGATGCCAGCACTCGAGGATCCTCTCCAGATCCGGGGTGTTTCCAGCCGCTGCTCCTCGCCCCATTCCCAGTGAGTTTCCAAGTCTGTCCAGTCAGGAACCTGGGTCTGAGGGGAGCAGAGGTACCCTGGACGGCAGGGCTCTCCAGCCCCGGCCCCTCCCGCAGCGGGTGTGACTGTTGCTTTGGCTGTCAGGTTCAGGGCTCTGAGAATGTGGTTTTGGGGAACGTGGTTAGTGGAATGTCACTGGGGCGTTTTTACTTTAAAACCATGAGCCGAGGGATGTGTTTCAGGGGTGGCCCCTGCCCGCAGGCTTGGCTCTGGCACAGTGTGAGCTGGCAGTGCCGGGGGGGGGGGGGGGACGGACCCCATGGGCGACATCCGCTCCACTCTGGCTCTCTTCCCAAGGAGCCTGGGGCTCCAGCCCTGTATGCAGATGCTGGTCAAAAGCAGTTCACTTCCGCCCTGACCAGTTTGGCTCAGTGGATAAAGCACCGGCCTTCGGACTGAAAGGTCCCAGGTTCGATTCCGGTCAAGGGCATGTGCCTTGGTTGGGGGCACATCCCCAGGTGGAGGTGTGCAGGAGGCAGCTCATGGATGTTCCTCTCTCTAACTCTCTCTCCCTCTCCCTTCTTCTCGGTAAAAAAATCAATAAAATATATTTAAAAAAAAAAAAAAAAAAAAGGTAGCTCACTTCCCCCGGCAAATTTCCTAACTGTGTGTCAGTGCGAGGAGAGCTCGCTGCTGTCCGGTGTAATCACCGAGTTCCTGAAGAGAACGCCGTGGGCCGTTTTCCGGGTGGCTACGGTGCCGCCTGGGTTAATGGGTGGTGGCTCTTGGCCGGAGGACGTGCGTCTCGGAGCGTTTCGTCCCCGCGGTTCTTCCCCCCGCCCGATGAGAATCACGGCTGAGCGCCGCCTTTCTGTGGAAGAGGCGTGCTTCCTGGTGAACGCCTCACTGCCCAGGCATGTGACCCCTGGACCGTGTGAGCTTGTCTTGGCTTTGGTTCCCTCCCCTCCCACCGCGATCGTTGGCTTTGGTTTGCTCGCCCGCCGCAGGCAGATGGGGTGCTGGGAGGTGGAGGCGGGGAGGAGGGTGCACAGGGCCTGGAGCACGGCCAGTGTGGGGCGTTTGCGTCTGGGTGGGCAGGGGACCGGATTCGCAGCGTGCCCGGCTTGCTGCTGTTGGGAATTTAGCTCCGGGCAAAGCTGGCCTCCTCCCCGGAGGGTTATTCCCGGGGCTCCTTAGTCTCGCTTTTCATCCTAAAATTGGTGACTGGGGTGCTTGAGCTGCCTGGTGTAGGGGGCAGGGTGCTCTCCAGCTCCAGGGTTGTGTTCGTTGGTGAAAGGGGCTGAGACACAAGTCACGGTGTTTTTAAACAAAGCCTGGCTGGGAAGAGGGAGGGAGCAGTCGGAGGGGTCCACCCAGCCACCTTTCCCGGGGACTGAGAGAACCCGTTCTGTGAGAGCGTATTTCCAGTTGCTCAGCTGCAGTCTTGTCTTCTCGCCGTGTCTGAATCCACTGGCCATTTCCTAGCTGCTTCCTGGATTCAGAAGTAAACGTGGCTGGCTGGTGGGGAGAAATGGGGAGTTTCTTCGTTCTTAGAATTCTCCACGAGACACTCAGCCAGCCTGCCACCTTAGTCAAGAGAAGCCAGAGGCACTGCATACTGTACCTTTTTTGTTGTTGTATTCATTTCATCCATAACTGTTTTTTACTATAGTGTCCTGCCCTTTTATTCCCTCTCCCTTCCCTCCCCCCGGCAGAGTTCTCTTTATGTTCCTGTACGGATTAGGTTTTTGGTGCAGAGGAGGTGAGAGAGGGCTCCTGTCAGTGGGGCAGGGCCAGGTGAGGACTGGCGTGTAATGCGGAGGGTAAGGGGCGTGGTTGTTGAGCTCCCGCCCACTCGCTCTTCTTCCCTTTCCTATTTCTGGTCCTCCTGGGCCCTGGCCTCCCCCCTGCACTAGCACTGCCTTTCCCAGCCGGTCTCCCTAGTTACCATGTCTGCTTGACTTGTTTGCAGTGGAATGTGCGGACACAATGCAGCCGAGGCTTAGCCAATCCCTGTGCGAAAACCTAAATAATGTCCCAGTTTATGAGACATGGGGACAGTTCCATCCGTAGAAGGAAGATGCTCTTACTGGTGCAGGAAAGCTAACAGAGGGATGTTTATTCTAAAGAAGGGTTTGAACTTCCAGTCCAGGTGTCCGTCAGTCCTGCCGTCATATCTGCTTGCTTGTTATCCTGTGAGCAGTTCGTTGGGGCACGAGGTTCCTTAGGCTCATCCTGAAGGGGACGGTGCCCTGCTTTAACATCTCAGAGTCTGAGGCGTGCGAGGCAGTTCCAGCTCCGTTGATGTTGCCACTCCGCATGCTCCCACTCCCCTGCTCTTCACGCCAGGTGAACAGAGTAATTAGCACAGGCTTTTGGAATTACCTTTGTTCCCAGAAGTCTCCTCCCTGTGCCAACTGCCACCTAAGCGTGAGCGAGTTGAGTCTAACCCCGTGGCCAACTGCCCCTCCAGCGGGCTCAGGGAGTCTGCGTCTGGCGATGGCGGCCGCCCACTGTCTCCACTGACCGGGGACAGCTTCCTCCCGGAAAGGCAGGTGCCCCTGGGCAGGCCCCGCAGGCTTTCCTCGGTGCCCTGCTCTGCTCTGAGCCATGTCACCCGCTGAACCAACAGAAGTGTCCGTGACAGGGACACACCTCTGACTCTGAAGGAGGGCAACTTTTATGCTTTATCGCTCCATCCTGAAAGTATTTTAGAAAAATAAAGCCTCGCCTGGCCAGTGTGGCTCAGGGGGGGTTGAGCATCCACCTATGATTCAGGAGGTGATGGTTCCATACCCAGGTTCTGGCTCCATCCCCAGTGGATGTGCAGGAGGCAGCCGATCAATGATTCTCTCTCATCATTGATGTTTCTCTCTCTCTCCCCCTCTCCCTTCCTCTCTGAAATAATTACATATAAAACATAAAGCCCAAGTCGTCTTCCATAAAGTAAAAGAAACGTGTTGCTGTATTTCAGGGTATCCAGAAACATTTTTGAGTCATAGGAGGCAAATACAAGGCACTGGGTCAATTCGAGCTTAACATGTGCGGAAGAGGCCGCCTCCCTGAACGTGGCTCTCTCATAGAAACACTCCGGCATTTCTGCGTTCGTTCATTCACCCAGCAGCTGGCCACTGGGTGTTTCCAGGTGCTGGCACCTGGCAGTGCCGGGAGCCCAGCCCTCAGGCCTCCTGGAGAGATGGTGACCTGGTGACTACACAAATACCCAAAGCAGTTGCAGAGAAGTGATTCGGAAGCAGGTTTTTCCTGTTGGAGCAGACACTTGTGTTCATCTGAGGTCAAGGTTTCCTTCCAGGGCTGGGGTCTGCGTAGCTCCTGCACGTTACGTGGGCACAGTGTACACCTCTTTGAGCGGGTGTCCGGTGCTGGTGAACGGCTGGTGAATTATTAATCCCTTGGTTCTTTCTAAGTGCCCTTGTTTTCCTCCATTGGCACGGAGCTCCATGGGCTCCTTCAGGAAGCCCAAGTTTGTTTGTTTTTTAATCTCTGCTCTCCCTCTGCCTTCCACAGAAAGAGCGGGATTTAGAATTGGCTGCTCGGATTGGCCAGTCGTTGTTGAAGAAGAACAAGACCCTCACCGAGAGGAACGAGCTGCTGGAGGAGCAGGTGGAGCACATCCGGGAGGAGGTGAGGAGCCGGGGCGGCGGGGCCGCAGGCGCGGTCCGGGGTGAGGGGAAGAGTCCCATTCGGAAAGGCCCTCGGGGGCTCGCCCAAGCCCTGAGCCCAGAGCTGCCTGCTCTCGAGTGGCCGCCCGGACACAGAACACTCCTGTTCCCTGTGCCTCCTCCCACCGTGGGGCCTCGTCTCCCATGTGGTATGATGATCCATGTCTCTGGGCATTTGCCCAACTGCTTACTTGATAAGCTATCTAGACATCATTCTAGAAACTTCTAGTCCCCTCTCATCTCTTCTCCATACCAAAGTAAAAATTGTAAATTAAGGCAGAGGGATTTTTTTTTAAATTTTTATTTATTTATTTTTATTTATTTTTATTTTTTTTTGCCAAAGAGTAATTCATTGTATTTTTCTCAAAGAGGATGAAACTTAACTGTTTCCTTTGAATAGGACAAAATCCTTTACAGACCTTCACTTTTGAGGATCAGTAGTTTAAAAAATATTTTCTTTATTGATTTCAGAGAGAAAGAGAGAGGGAAAGAGAGACAGAAACATCAGTGATGAGGGAGGATCATTGATGGGCCGCCTCCTGCACGCTCCCCACTGGGGATCGAGCCCGCCACCCGGGCCTGTGCCCTGACCTGGGATCAAGCCGTGACCTTCTGGGTTCAGGTCGACGCCCAGCCACTGCGCCACGCTGGCCGGGCTAAGGAGGAACGTTCAAAGCCTGTCCCTGAGCAGCAGGTGTTTGAGCGCGAGAGGGGGCCACGGTCCCGTGTGGGGTGAGTGACGGGCCCGGCCCGGTTTGTGCAGGTGTCCCAGCTCCGGCACGAGCTGTCCATGAAGGATGAGCTGCTCCAGTTCTACACCAGCGCCGCGGAGGAGAGCGAGCCTGAGTCCGCGTGCTCCACCCCGTAAGTCCCTGGCGCCTGGGTCACAGCGCGGGCTGGCTGCCGCCCGTGGCCCCGGAGCTGCCTGGCAGGGCCCGCCACCTTCCCCAGCAGCGCCGGTCAGCCGCTCCGGCCTCCTCCAGCCGGGCACCTCCCCGTGCCTGGCACAGAGCGTCTCACCGTTTCAGTGGGATGTGGGAGGACAGGTTTTTTGCTTTCCTCTTCCCGGGTCTCCTTGTTCATTGGCCAGTTGAGACTGACGTGGCCTGGCATGTTGGCAGGTGACAGGGTGGGGGGACCTTGGGGGCAGGAGGTGCGGGGGCTTCTGTGAGAGCCTGCAGAGCCTCCTGGTAGTGGCGTGAACTCCAAAGCCTGATGGTCCGCGTTCACTTCTCGACTCCGTGTGGCTTCTTAGCTGTGTGTTCTCGGCTGAGCTACTTCACCTCTCTGTGCTTGTTTCCTAATTCCTCACCTCCTCCCCAGGTTGAAGAGGAATGAGTCGTCGCCCTCGGTCCAGAATTACTTCCATCTGGATTCTCTGCAGAAGAAGCTGAAGGACCTGGAGGAGGAGAACGTTGTACTGCGATCCGAGGTGACGGGCGCACCCTGCTCTGGTTCGCACGGAGGGCGGCGGCCGCGTTCACCTAATCTGCCCTGCTCGGAGGTTCTCTGTAAGAACCACCCGGACCTCGGCTCATTCCTGCGCCGGGGGTTGCCTCCCCTGGCTGGGGCAGACCCACTGGTGAATTATGCAGAGCCTGGAGGGGCAAGGATGGCAACCCGCCCCCCCTTCGCAGGGTAGGAGGGGGTCTTTCCATGGTGTCCTCCAGCTCTACGGGCATGACGCGGAGGCCCAAGGTGAAGGCCTCATTTTCACGTCCCCGCAGGTGACAGGAAACAGTATTTTTCAGACAGAGAGGAAGGGAGAGGAAGAGAGAGAAACGTCGATGTGAGAGCGAAACTTCGATTGGCTGCCTCCTGCGTGTGCCAGGGATTGAGCCCTAAGCCTCCTAGGCATGTGCCCTGAATGGGAATGGAACTTGCAGCCTTTCAGTGCCCAAGACAATGCCCAACCCACTGAACCACGCTGGCCAGACTGCGTTGATTTTTAAATCTTCACCACAGGCTGGAAGCTGGCGACTCTGTCTCATGTCCATTGGGAAGCCGGGACCCAGGCTGCCAGGAGTTTGGATTTCCCACGGCCCGGCATGCCAGTGGATGCCAAAGCCAGAATTTGCTAGTCTCCACGACTCCAGACCCCACACTGTTTCCCCTCGCCCCCTGTCTCTGCCTAGAAACACTGCACATTTAGTTTTGTGGGTTTTTATCTCTTAAGTATCAGTACATGTTTGCTCTCTAGCCAGAGGTGTGGTGCAGCCTACTTAGCAGGCCCTTATTTGTCAAATTGGGGCTGATTCCCACCTGAGCTGGCTCCTCACGTCCCCCCTGCCCCAAAGCTCATCCAGTAGGGCAGGCCACCTGTCACCTTGAACTTGCCCACACGTTGGAAACAACCTCACGTCTGGGCTGAGCGGGACACTGAGGCATGAGGAAAGGGTCATGCCATCTCAGAACTCACCTCTTCCAGCCCCTCGTTTACTGAGAGGCTGTCTGAACTCTCTCTCTGCCAGCCAGTGTTCCCCATTCTGAGTCTGGTGCTCCCCTCCCAGCGTCATCTGCCCCAGGTAGACACTCTAGTCCTGGGCACACACAGCAATGGCCCCTCCGTCTATGTCTTCACCGAAAGTGGGCAGGCGCGTGGGCAGCTGCCCAGGGAATTTGGTCCCAGCCAGAGTCCGCTACCCTCCCCCCACCCTGGGTTTTTAGGAGGGTGGGTTCTCTGGGGCCAGGTCCTCCTGCCTAACTGGGGTGTTCAGATCTCTCGCCTCCCACTTTGTTAGCCAGGAGCAAGCTACACGGAGTCCTGGGATGGCTCTTGGGCCTCTGGATTTTAATGCTTCCACTTCCATCTTGGACCTTGTTTTCGCTCAGCTGAATGCAGGAGGTTTAACTCCAACTTAGAGCCTCATGGGACAGCGCCCTGCACATTGTAGGAGAATGTATTAGCCATTCTCCTTGTGGCTATCCTTCGAACGCCCAGGGGAGGCAGAGCTGTGTCCTGGGCACTTTTTGAATCACAGGGGGTTCAGGCTGTGAGCCCGGGCAGACATACTGGACGCCAAGATGGCTCGTGGAGTCTTAGTGAAGCGGGGTGTACAGCTCTTGTGCGCATGGCCTTGAGGGGCGCCCTCTAGTGGTACATTTTCCGGGCTTGAGAATCTGAGATGCCCCCACTCAGGAGGGGATTCCGATTGACGTTCTGTATTTGAGGATGCGGCAGGTGACAGTGGGGGAATGCCAAAGGGTGACTTCCCAGACCCAGGCAAGCCCTGGCTCCATGACCCAGCCTTGCCCGCCCCAGCAGTGCGAGTGTGAGTGCGGGGCCTCTCACCTGGGCTTGTCCACACGCAGGCCTGCCAGCTGAAGACGGAGACCATCACCTACGAAGAGAAGGAGCAGCAGCTGGTCAACGACTGCGTGAAGGAGCTGAGTATGTTCCTGGCCATCCCCCCACCCCCTCCCCGTTCCCTCCTTTTCCTTTCTGCACCTGCCCTCAGTATGAGCGTACAGGATCGCGTCCCCTGACCAAGTACAGTGTCCCAGCCAGCTTGGGGCTCAGGAGCATTTTCCTTAAAACTAGAGGTCCCCCAGGTCTTTTGGGGGCACCCCTCGCCCCTACTTATGAGAAATCGGGGGCCTAGGTCGTCAGTCATACATTGTCTCAATGCCTCACTGGCATTTAATTTTAACTTTGTTTTCTACTGGAACGTTGGAATTATTTTTACGGCTGAGTTAGGCATAGCTTCAGAGCCGTGTGTTGAAGATATGGAAAGACTGCTCTCTAGCCATCTGATTGGTGCACGTTGAGGCGAGAGTTCTTTCCACCCTTTCCATTATAAGTTGAGACGAGACAATGCTGTAAACCGGATATCTTGAGTTTCGGCAACACACTAAATAAATGAAACACACCCTGTGTTCAAACCTAGGAAAATGAGTTGTGGCTCTGCCTGTGGGTGGGAAACAGCCGAGGGAACTGTGCTGTGCACCACAGGGTTTCCTTTCCAGAGCAGGGCCGACAGGAGTTCCTGGGAATATATGGACCTGTTTGAGGGTGGAGAGTGGGCTTTGGCCAGACGCACCTTGGTAGGGGTGAGGCACCTCCTGGCCGGCTCTGGGAGCCTCCCCATTTGCTCTGGGGAGGCAGCCTGGGTCAGCGGACGGGCCCTCACCATGAGCGCAGGAGCCACAGCTGGGAGCCAGGTCCCTCCTCGTGGCAGAAGGAGCCCGGGGAGCCGCTCTGCTTTGCTTCACTGTCCAGCACAACGGGCAGTCCACGTCCCTTCTTCCTGTGTCCTCTCGGCTCCCCATCTTCCCCCCCCCCCCCTCATCCCAGCTCCGCACAGAGGTGCTTTCCCTGGTACAGACCACCAAGAACCCATTCTCTCGTGGTGTGCACGGGGGGGGGGGGGGGGTTTGTCTGACTTCACTTCGAGATGGCTGTTTCTTGGTCCAAGGGGACGCCAACGTGCAGATCGCCAGCATCTCGGAGGAGCTGGCCAAGAAGACGGAAGACGCTGCCCGCCAGCAGGAGGAGATCACGCACCTGCTGTCCCAGATCGTCGACCTGCAGAAGAAGGCCAAAGCGGTAAGCGGCTGCTCTCCTGGCCGACACCGAGGGGCCGCCCTGGGATCGGGACGGGCCTCTGACCCGGGAGACAGTGCCCTTCCCTTCGTGTCTTAGGAGTGGCGGCTGCCTTTTGGAGAAAGAGCTTAGCGGCTCCAATGCTACACTCCTCACCACCACTCTCCTCCTCAGAATAGCTTCAAATTGAGGGGCTTCACTACGAAAGCTGCTGTAGGCAAGGCGTCTGGGAATTGAACCATCTAGCCCAGCGGTCGGCAAACTCATTAGTCCACAGAGCCAAATAGCAACAGGACAACGATTGACATTTCTTTGGAGAGCCACGTTTTTTAAACTTACACTTCCTCTAACGCCACTTCTTCAACACAGACTCGCCCTGGGCCGTGGTATTTTGTGGAAGAGCCGCACTCAAGGGGCCAAAGGGCCGCATGCGGCTCGAGAGCCGCAGTTTGCCGACCACGGATCTAGTCTAGTAGTAGTTGTTTTTACACCCCGCACCGGTGTGTTCTGCAGCAGCCAGTGTCCCCTTTAGGTTGACGATGAAGCGGCCAGAAGACAATCTGGTGGTTTCCCTTGTTTGGCCTTTGCTAGAAGCGTGGGGCGAAATGCTCCCAGAGATCAGCTGTCTGTGGGGGTGGGGTGGGCCACAGAGAACGAGCGTGGATGTAGGAAAGACTGCCTTCAGAATTCTAACAGAGGACATGTCCCCCGGTGTAAGAGGGCCCCTGTGGAAGGGCCCAGGGTCCTAAGGGACTGGGTCGCTGGGGGAGCGGGGCGTTTCCCAGCAGCCTGCGGGGCAGGAGCTGACCGCCTGTGCGTTGCAGTGCGCGGTGGAGAATGAAGAGCTGGTGCAGCACCTGGGGGCCGCGAAGGATGCCCAGCGGCAGCTCACGGCCGAGGTAAGCGGCTCCCCCTCATCTCGTCAGGGAACGCCCTCCCTCCCCCCATGCCAGGTCGTGGGCATCTGCCTCTCCCTGATGGGATGGGGGTTGTGTTCTCCTCAACAACCATTTTTCTATTGAACGGAAGGTTGTTTTTACTCCTAAGCTGACTCCCTCTGATGCGCTTCCTGGCTGTGAGCACCTGGGAGGCTGGGCCCTGTGCCTGCCCGGGGCCAGGCGTGCCCAGGCGCTCGATAAACAGTCCAGTAAAGAGGCGACACAGAGCACACCCGTGAAGGGAGTCTGTTCAAAGACCCTTGAGTCCCGGGTGTCACGATGAGCTCCCCGATTCGGTTCTGGGTGTCCCCAATCTCAGTTGCCCCTGGTTAGAGTTTTAGGGGATTTCTGGAGTCAGAAAGGATGCTCCACGTGAAAGAAAAAACCGGAAACTTAAGGACTCAGGCGTTTGGCTCCAGGGGCCGCTCCGAGTGCACAGAGTGTCTTTCGGGCTGTGCGGGTGCGCGGGCCGGTGCCCGGTGCTCACGAGACGCCTCCCTGGCCCCCTGCAGCTGCGCGAGCTGGAGGACAAGTACGCCGAGTGCATGGAGATGCTCCACGAGGCGCAGGAGGAGCTCAAGAACCTGCGGAACAAGACGGTGCCCAACACCACGTCCCGGCGCTACCACTCGCTGGGCCTGTTCCCCATGGTGCGTGCTGCCGCCGAGCGGGACCCTCCCCCCGCCGTTCCCACCCACGCGAGGGCTGGGGCTGGTCTGTGGGGGCGGCCTCTCGTTTTGCAGCGTGGATCGGGTTCGAGCCTCTTAGCTTCTTAGCTACACGATACAGACAGTATCCCTCTCACGCTCATCTTTTCCATCCCTCTCACGCTCATCTTTTCTCTGCCTGCTTTGACGAGAGAGATTTTAGTAGCAACTAGATGGAGTAGGGACCTCAGCTTCCTGGAGGATGTTATTGATACATCATTGTTTTTTCCTGATCTTACGAGAGTCTGTGCTACTTCGGCTTCGCCAGGACATCCCAGAATCCCCGAGTTGCCCCTGTGCGGTGCTGCTGGCTCTTTGTCGGCTGGTGGCATCAGTATCTGTGATCTGAAGAGATCTTTCTCTCCGTGCGAGGCGGGGGGGGGGGGGGGGGGGGGGGCACGCATTTTTATATTTTCCATATTTCCCCGCCGTCTCCTTGTTCAGCCCTGGCCTGACTTGTTTTTGGTCGGGCTGTAGGGAGCAAGGCCGAGAAGGGGCTTGGCAGGTCAGCTCTCCCTCCCGCGGTTGGGCAGTCACCCTGGCTGGCCACGTCCCTGTGACACGTGACACGCGGTGAACTTTCGAGAGCAATTCCTCTGCACGTGGAGGGAGTGGATGTCCCTGTGTTTGTGGAAGTCGGTCCCTTCCGAATTTGGCTTTCCGTGGGGCTCTTCCCCTTCACCCGCTCCTAGCTGCCTGGTCCACGCCTCCTAAATCAGGGGTGGGGAACCTTTTTCCTGCCAAGGGCCATTTGGATGTTTATAACTCATCCGATTAATATCAGTCACTTAATATAAGTTCATGTTGCTAAGGACTAAAAAGCTCCTAAATTTATAGAATTTCGAGTCCCGCTTGCAGTTGCTGGGCAGGGCCGGACCGAATGATTTCGAGGGCCTTCTACGGCCTGTGGGTGGACGTTCCCGACCCCTGTCCTAGGTCATGGGACCTCTTTTCCCTTGTTGCTCTCTTACATCCAAGTCAGGCTAGCACTCTTTCCCGTCTTCTCTCGACCTGATTGAAATCTACTGAGACCAAAAAGAAAGGCACGCAACGTAGTCGGCCCCCCAAGGAGCAGGCCGGCGATCCAGGGCTCCAGGGGTCCCGCGAAGAGCATTCTGTCCCCGAGTTCCTCGGCTAGAGCTGACCACGCCGGCTCCCAGACTTGCCTGTGTACGTAGCTTTGCACACGTCTCGCCTCGGTTTCCCTCCTTCCTGGCTTCTCACCGGGGCGAGGTGGTCTCCAGGCCCTAGGATTCACTCCTCTGCATTCCCCACCCTCCAGGGCAGGCCTGTATTTTTTCAGATCGAAACCATTGCATGAGGAAAGCGGGGTTGGAAAGCTGCGGCTGGGCTTCCTCTGGAGGGAGCCTCGGCGCTCCTGTGCGCTGAGATGAAGCCTTTGTTTGTCTCCCTCTGTAGCTGACGGCACAGCTCTGTGTTGGAAGAGGGCTGTTGTTAGAGGGCATGATGCCTTCAAGGTACTTAAGTCGATTTAACGTCAGTCCACTGAGGTTAAATGCAGTCGGGAATTCTGTTCCTCAAGCCCAGGGGGGCCCGTGGCTGGTGGCCCCGCACGGCACCGAAAGGGAGCACTCCCGGCGTCCGGGGATGCTGACGTTAGCCCAGTGTTAGCCCTTGGATTGAGCTCCTCTGAGGCCCTGGCAGGTGCTTTTCTGCCCGCACCTGGCCCTGTGGGCGCCTCCCTGTGCGGGGTTGTCTGTGGGGCTCTGCCTCACACAGTGAGGAGCGGCGGGCGGTTCAGAACCTGTGCGAGCTGAGCAGTGAGCAGCCCGCAGACGGGGAGGACAGCAGCTTAGTGCAGCCCCTGTGGGCACGACCTCATCCGGCTGCTCAGAGCGTGGCGGTCCGTGGGACCCTGCCCATCGGGGTCATTCTGAGCAGCCCTCCCTCCCTCCCTCCCCGAGTTCCCCGCCTCTCCCGTGGCCACCGCTGGGGCTCCGTGGTTTGGCCAAGGGGGCGCAGGGTTTGCTTTCAGACACTCAGCCGTGTCGTGGAAGCGAAGGAGCTTTGTACCCGGTGCTGTCCGGTGCCCGCCGTGTTCAGAACCGGCCTCGTGATGGCTCAGCCAGGGCCTCTGGCCATGCAGACGCTCTGCACCCGGCCTTGTGGGATGTCTGCCGCCTCTGAGGCCTCAGTTTACCCTTCTGGGGCTAGCCTGGGCACGAGCCTCTTTCAGAGCCAGAGCGTTGGGGTTGCAGCTCACACGCGTGTCTTCTGGCTTCCCCCAGGACTCCCTGGCAGCCGAGATCGAGGGGACGATGCGGAAGGAGCTGCAGCTGGAAGAGCCCGAGTCACCGGACATCGCGTACGGCCTTATTCTGAGCTTCCCCGAGGGACCGCCTGGCGGCCGGGGGTGGTCAAAACGAGCGTGTTTGGGCCTCAGGCACCAACCGTGATCGCTGAGGTGCCGCCACAGATGAAGGGAAAGGAGAGGGCACAGCGGACATCACCCCCAGCTCCTCTTGTGACGATTTAAAGATAGATTATGAACATCCAGGAGGTTGGGACCGTGGAGACGTATTTAGCGTCTCCACACAAGTGCCGTCTTGGCACCTCCACTCATTTTCATCCTTCCTCTCAGCGAAAACCATTGTTTAAAAAACGTTAACATCTTTTAGGAAGAGGAGAAGTAAGGTGGGAGATATAGAGGGCCCTCAGGGGTGAGAGCAAGGCGTCCGTTCCCTTCTGGGTCTGTGTAGGGGTGCTGGCCTCTGCCATCTCTCTCCCGAACTCGCCACCTCCTGCCTGGCCTGCCCTGGGGTGCAATGAGGAACCCGTGGGTCCGATTTTATCGTGTTTTCTCTGCTGATACCCCAGAGGCACAACCGACAAGGGATGGATCCTGGGCATGGCTAGTGTCCAGAGCCTCAGCCCCATCCCAGAAAGATGCATCCGTTATAGAAACGTGCCTTTTTCTCCTTAAAAGGGGACAAATGGACATCAAAATGTGAGACCCTGCTCTCAAGTGGCAGTTTCTAAAAACAGACTCATCTGATGTTTATCACCTCAGAAGTTTGACCAACTTGAAGTCTTGCTTTTTTTTATATATACAGTCATGTGCCACTTAATGACCTTCAGTCCGAGACGGACCACACGTAGGACGAGGGTCCCGTAAGATTAAAAAGGAGCTGAAAACGCCTACCCCCTAGTGACGTCCTAGCTGCCATGACGTCACAGCACACCATGGTACCATTGTGGTGGTGCTGGTGTAAACAGACCTCCCGCACTGCCACTTGTATAAAAGAATCACATACAGTTACGCATAGTATTTCATACTGGACAGTGACAATCGTTGACTCGGTTACTGGTTTTCTGTATTTATTATACTTTTTGCCATTTTTTAGAGTGTCCTCTCTCTACTTAAAAAAACACACGCACCAAGTTTGCTGTTAAACAGTGTGCCGTGCCACGTGGGCAGCAGCCCCACATGCCCCCGTTTTACCGCATCTCTTGATCGCGTGACTCGCTTGTGCTTGCTTTAACCTCCTGTCGTCCGTGTGGAAGCACGCGGGACAGGCTGGCAGCCTCGGAGCAGTCAGCTCCACCCTCCAGGCGTGTGTAAGCGCGCTCTGCGATGTTCGCACAACGACCAAATGGCGCAATGAAGCATTTCTCAAGACGTGGCCCTGCCATTGAGCGGCACATGACTGTGTGTGTGAATAGTCAAGGCGTGTTCGTTCTACTGATACTCGCTGAGCCCTGTTAGGTGCAGAGCAGTCAACACTGCCCCCTGGGGTTTGCATTCTAGTGATACTCATGAAAAAAGAGAATTAGCCTGGAGACAGCGCTACTGAAGTGTTTTTATTTGTAGGCCAAGCTTATGGGGGAGAGGGGAGTAGTATATCTCCTGCTAGCATCCCTGTTAGGACACAGCCTGTGTTCCAGCCCTGACATCCGTGGGCGGGGAGTCTCCTGCATTCCAGCCAACACCCCGAGAAACATCCAGAAGGCAGGATGACAGGTGGCTCGGGCGCTCACGCCGGCCAGCTACCTTCTCGGCTTCCCCGCTGATGCTTCGGGGAGGGTTTAACCCCAGGGTCGCTCCTGCGCGCGCTCATTCGCGGGCGATGTCGTGCCTTCTCCCCAGTCACCAGAAGCGCGTCTTCGAGACCGTGAGGAACATCAACCAGGTGGTGAAGCAGAGGTCTCTGACGCCCTCCCCCATGAACATCCCCGGCTCCAACCAGTCCTCGGCCATGAACTCCCTCCTGTCCAGCTGCGTCAGCACCCCCCGGTCCAGCTTCTACGGCAGCGACGTGGGCAACGTCGTCCTGGACAACAAGACCAACAGCATCATCCTGGAGGCGGAGGCGGCCAGCCTGGGGTGAGCGGCGGGAGCTGGGGCTTTTGTGTTTTGGAGACGGATGGGTGTGGAGCGAACGCAGGTTTCGTCATCAGAGGGGGGAGGAGACCGACAGGAAGGGCCTGAAAAATACAGACCCTTCAGTTCTCAAACGCATTTCACCGACCTGCTGAGCCTTTTTTTTATTAATATATTTTATTGATTTTTTTACAGAGAGGAAGAGAGAGGGATAGAGAGTTAGAAACATCAATGAGAGAGTCATCGATCAGCTGCCTCTTGCACGCCCCCTACTGGGGATGTGCCCGCAACCAAGGTACATGCCCTTGACCGGAATCGAACCCTGGGACCCTTGAGTCCACAGGCCGACGCTCTATCCACTGAGCCAAACCGGTTTCGGCCCCTGCTTAGCCTTGACGCCGGTCTGTTCACCAGTCCAAAGGGATAGATGGGACGCGGCAGGAAGTCTGTGAAGTTGCTGACCAACGGGCAGGACCAGTGAGTGTGTGTTTCTGTTCGTCTTCACCGGGAAGGCTACAGTGTAGACCTGTGCGTCATGGACCCTTTGGTGTAGGGGTGTCGAACTCAATCAGAGAAGGGGCCAAAATCTGAAATCCAGCCTAAATCGCGGGCCGAATGGTTTACTGAACAGTCATAAACTGTCATTGCGATGGAAACGCAGCGGAGTGCAGTGATGACAGTGCGATGCGGGCCACATTGCAAGGCCTGGCGGGACGGATTTGGCCCACGGGCCTTGTGTTTGACACATGTGCTTTGGTGGCTGGGACGCTCGAAAGGTTGAGGAGTGCCCAGGCTCTAGCTCAGGACCAGAATCTGGTTTGCTTCGGAAGGTGGGATGCAGGGCGCCCCGCAAGTGCCCATCACACCGGGTGGCCCTGGGTGGCCCCTTCTACACAGGGGTCGCCCCTCTCCGGCCTGAAGCCCCCCGGATCCCCGCCCCCCCCACACACATTGTCTGCTGTGTGCACTCGACTCCTGTGACTTCACAACATTGGTTTTTCTGACCAGCTGGGCAGACCGTTGGGACACAGCTTGGTCAGGACAGTTTTGAGTCTGACCAAGAAGAAGGAGGAGGGCCCCTTGAGCCTGCCCTTCCTGTAACCAGGAACCGCAGCTGAAGAAGGCTTCTTCCCCCGGGGGGGGGGGGGGGGGGCACTGAGGGGATTCGATGTTACGTCGCATGTGCGAATTTCAATTCTGCCCGAGTGCTTTCTGTCTCTGCTCCTTCTTGCCCCCATCTTCCCAAAAAAACCAACAGAGGGAAATTGTTCTTCAGGGTAGGCATTGTTTCCCTTTTTGGGGGGTTGATCCTCACCAGAGGCTCTTTTTTTTTTTTTTTTTTGAGTGGAAGGGAGGGGGGGGAAGAGAGAGAAACATCTATGTGAGAGAGAGACACTGCTTGGTGGTCTCCTGAATGTGCTCGGTAGGGGCTGGGGAACGAACCTGCCATGTAGGTATGTGCCCTTGACTGGGAATCGAACCCAACGTCCTTCCGTTCACAGGCCATCGCTCTAACCACTGAGCACACCGGCCAGGGCCGTTTCCCCTTTTTGGCCTGCCTCTCGGCCGCTCGCTGTGGTTTTCCTTAGAATGCCCACCGTCACCCTTGCACGTTCCACAGGAAGGCCTCCCTGCGTGCTGTGCGCAGCGCCCGCTGCTGGGTGTGCCACGCTCACCCGTCTCCCCTCCCCCTCCCCCTTCCAGAAACAACGAGCAGAGCAAGAAGCCGGGGACCCCGGGCACCCCGGGCTCCCACGACCTGGAGACGGCGCTGCGGCGGCTGTCCCTGCGCCGGGAGAACTACCTGTCGGAGAGGAGGTTCTTCGAGGAGGAGCAGGAGAGGAAGCTGCGGGAGCTGGCGGAGAAGGGCGAGCTGCTCAGCGGCTCCCTCACGCCCACCGAGAGCATCATGTCGCTGGGCACGCACTCCCGCTTCTCGGAGTTCACCGGCCTCTCGGGCATGTCCTTCAGCAGCCGCTCCTACCTGCCCGAGAAGCTCCAGATCGTCAAGCCGCTGGAAGGTGATCACCGGGGGCCCCGGCCCCTCTCGGCCCTGCTCGGGGACTCCCTGTGGGCGCTGATCCACCGCCGGCCCTCGGGGACCGTCTGTCACGCCTACTCCTTCTACTTCAGGGGCAGCCACCCGCGCTGCTGGTTTGAGTTCCGCTGAGGGACTCTGGCCCCGGCCCCCAGCCCCTGCCAGCCCCTGCCAGCCCCTGCCCGCCCCTGCCCGCGCAGGTTTGGAGAAACACACACAGGCACCCACGTCCATCCCTGGCCAGGAAGCCGGCGAAAAGAACGTGCCCGCCTTGGCTCTCTGGTTCGCTCGCTTTTGCATGTAGAGTCTTAGAAATACACACACAAAAAAATTTTTTTTTTGGATATATTTTATTGACTTCTCACAGAGAGGAAGAGAGAGGGATAGAGAGTTAGAAACATTGATGAGAGAGAAACATCCATCAGCTGGCCTCCTGCACACCCCCCTCCTGGGGATGTGCCCGCAACCAGTGTGCATGCCCTTGACCGGAATCGAACCCGGGACCTTTGAGTCCGCAGGCCAACGCTCTATCCATCGAGCCAAACCGGTCTCGGCAGACATACAGATCTTTTCGAGAGCGAGAGGCACTGCTTGCGGACGCAGAAACTCCTGAGGCCCCGCCCGCTGGGTCTGAGCAGCGGGGAGAAGCCATGCTTTGGCTTCTCAGAAATGTTGGTGTCCGGGAGGGAGGGTGGAGGGAGGGGTGCAAAGCCAATGCTCTAGGTTTTCTCAGTAACCACATGAAAGCGATCTGCAGTTTGTCTTTGCAATTTGTCGGCTCATGTTCTGCTTCCATCTTCAAATCGCGTGGCTTTCCTCCTGTGTCCTGTTCTGAGCAAGGCTCCCAGACCACGGCTCTCGGGGGGCCAGGACGGGGTGGCTGTGGGGGCCTGTGAGTTCTGTGCCTTCTTCATCCTGCATCCTCCTGGGGCAGTTCCCAGACCACGGCTCTCGGGGGGCACCCCAGGTGGTTAAACTCCTGGGGAAACGCACCTGTTTTTCTTTCTGCTTCCTCTAAGCCCGTGGTCGGCAAACTCGTTCGTCCACAGAGCCAAATATCAACAGTACAACGATTGACATTTCTCCGGAGAGCCACATTTTTTTAAACTTAAACTTCCTCTAACGCCACTTCTTCAACATAGACTCGCCCAGGCCGTGGTATTTTGTGGAAGAGCCACACTCAAAGGGCTGTGGCTCGCGAGCCGCAGTTTGCTGACCACTGCTCTGAGAGCATTATACAGTGTCTGCCTTTTCCCTACCGGCACCTTTTCCCTGCCACATCTTTGTATTTTTCATTTTTTTTACCCCTGTAGTTTGGAAACCCGGGTGAGTTTGAGAAGGTGCCTTAGAATTCCGTTATTACATTTCTGATGAAAAGCCTAATCAGAATTTCTGTGAGGCAGTATTCCTCAACTTAAAAAAAAAAAAAAAAAAATTCCCCCCTCAAAGGAGCTGATGTATTTAGATGTCTATTCCCCCTGAGGATGTAATACCACAGATACGCCGTTATGTGCTGTATGTATATCTGTGCTCTGTGCCTAAAAAAGAGTAGAGTCTTTTCACCCCACAAGAACCCGTCTTCAGCCCCTTGGGGGCGGAACCTCTCCTGGTGGGGATTCCTGCCATAAGATGAGGTTGTGCTTGTTGAAAACCCAAGATAATGGGGTTCCCTGTTCTCCGAAGGGAAGAGGGTGGGTAATGTTCTTTTTTCCATGCTTATTTTTTCATTGTGTAAGTGAGGTCCTTCTTAGATTTCAAAAAAGGGATGGCTCTTTTTTCTTCTTTTTTTTCTTTTCATGTTCATTCAGTTGTAAGCTTGGTGATTGTTTTCTGATCCACGATTATGTCTTTTTCTTTCAATAAAATCTTCCATTTCTGCAATTTTGCTTTCTGCCTATCTTTCATTTATTTATTTTTTCTCTTGTCTCTCAAAGATCATTGGAGTTTATCACCTCTATCTTGTCTGCTTTCTATATTTGATTTTGTTTCATTAGCTCATCAAAGAATATGTTTTTGGATCCATTTTCCAAGCATGATTGCAGGAAGAGATTTTTTTTTTTTTAATTTATTTTGACCAATACATCTTTTTCTTTTTTTTTAGTCTTGTGACTTAGGCAGCAGGCTTTTTGTGATACGTTAATGGAATAAGAGGAAATCCCTTTAGACTTGCAAGATGAATTTCATCTATAGTACCCTGCTCATCCAAACACTAAAACCACTGCCATTAAGAAGTCATCTCTTATCACTAAGTCCTGTAACTCGTCCTCACAATAGAAGGCCCTCTGGCTCCATTTGGTAGTTCTGACTGTGACCTTAGATCGGTCACCTCACCTTTTTGAGCCCGCTTTCCCTTATTGGTGACGTAGGGCTCGCATGTGCCGCACGATATTGTCATGAAGAGTACACGTGATGTGATTTGTATCATGCTCAGCACCCTACTTGGGGCTAACCCAAGCTTAGGCCCCCCAAACGGACCCCTGTTCTGGCAGCTCAGGTCTAACGGTGGCCCTACCACTGTTGAGACCTGGGCCTGCGTTGTGCTGGGGCCACGCCCTGGCATCGCCTCTTTCCACTGGCCCGCTCTGACGCTGGTAGGATTCCCGTGACCTCCAGGGACCCAGGTAACCGTACCTGCAGGGAGGCCCCAGGAGACTGTGGCCGATAGCCGATCTGCGTCTCCCGTCGCTGTCTCCCTCCCCACTTCCCCCATCTGGCTGTCCGCTTGCTGGAGTCTGCCAAAGCTGCTGGGCTCGGTGTGGGAGCACGCGGGCACTCTGGTTTCCTCGCTGACCTTACGTGTTTTCAGCAAGGGATGGACAAAACATTCGGACTAGGAGAGATCCGTGCGCGTTGCAAAGATGAGTCGTGTTTTTCCCTCCCTGAATTTTGCTCTTCCTTTCTGATTAATTATAACCAAGAGAGTATTTCCGCATAAAGAAGATACTATGGGGTTAGGGAAAAGCACACACCTCTAAGCAGTGCATTACCCAGCAGGTTTAGTTTTAACTTTTAGGCCCCGGATGCTCCTCTGACATAAATAGGTTTGCTTTTCTTCTTCTTCTTCCAGGACGTGAATACTTTTTTTAGTGCGAACAGTGGGGTGTGAAAGGAAGGCAGACCGGGGGAGAGGGACAGTGACCATAATGATGGTTTCTGTGCTGCCCATACCCTGGTTTCATGATCAAGCCAAGTGAGTTGATGTAACACCTCTTCTGGTTTCACCAGAATTTCATCTTGGTGCCGACTAGAAGCAGGAAGGTTCCTCTCTCCACCTGCCCTGGTGCCTGGCCGCAGCCTCGTTCTCACGGGGCGGGAGGAGGGGGTGGGAGTGGGAGGTAGCTGACAGTGCGGTCAGTCTCTCTTCACATCGTCCATAGATTCTTGGAACTGCCGGGCCAGTGTATTGTCCATCTAGCTCCCGAGACTTGCCTCTGGGAGTCCTCCGGGCTGCTGGCCGAGGGGCAGTCTGTGTGGTTCAGAGGGTGGGCCCTGAGGCCAGCCCGGGTTTGAATCCCAGATGGGCCCTTGGCCAGCTGTGCAGCCTCTGGCAAGTGACTTTACCTCCCTGAGCTCAGTTTCCTCATCTGTAAAATGGGGACAACAGGGTTATCGTGACAGTTAGGTGAGTTCATCAGTGTAGACCTCTAAGGAGAGTGCCTGGCTCTTAGTAAACGTTAGCTGCTTGATGAGCAAGCGAGGCCTGAGTCCTGGGGTAAAACCTAAGTCCGTGCTTCACCTTGCAGCGTAATCTTTCGTTTGTAATCTCACTGCCTTTCCTGGGCTGGGTATCGCCAGGGAACGCAGATAACCCCCTGCACTGCCGTAGCCTCCTTAACTCCACAGCGGGCCCTTTGCGGCCCCCTTTCTCCCGGTAGCCCATGCATTGGGCTGGGAGCGGGAGAGGCGGGGCAGCCGGTTGGGACAGGAAGATCCAGGTGCATGGACTCGGGGCCCATCCTCCAGCCGCACCGCGTTTTTCCCCAGAACGTGGCAAACACCTCGGGCCCCTTTCTCGACACAGCGTCGGCTCTCCCGCTCTTCCCCTCCCACAAGTAGAGGCGACGGGGCCACGTGGCTGCTGTGGGTGTCTCCTCCTCCTCCTAAGGCGCACCCACACGTGCAGGCCGGGCTGGAGGCCCTGTTCCCCGTGTGCTTTTGCTGCAGGAATGTGTCTGTGCCTCCCGCTGACACATAAGCAGGGGGCCGTTGTGGGTGATGAATGGGGGCCCCGGGGGTGGGGTGGGCGTGGGAAATCCCATCCGCAGAAGTGTGTGTGTGTGTGTGTCTCCTGGCAGGCACTGGACACCCACCCGGAAGGGTGACTGCCCACCATCGATGCATCTCGCTGGCTGGAGCGATGGCGTCCTTGCTTGTTTTCAGACCTGTGGATTGGGGTGTTGGGGAGGGGGCGGAGACTGCAGAAAGAACCTGGCCTCCAGCACTGAACCCTGGCTGTGCCGTCACTGGCTCGGTGTGGACTTTGCAAAGTCACGTCACTTCCGTGAGCTTCGATGGATGATCATACTTGCCTCGTAGGGCAGGGCAGCTTTGAGGAGGGAGTTGCCTCGGTTCAGGGGAGCTCTTTGTAAATGTGAGGCTGCGGCCCCTGGGGCTCAGGACCCCACAAACGGGTCTCAGCGTGTGTGCACAGCCCTGGCTGTGTGCACCTAGCGACACTTATATGTGAGATGCCTTTGGGGAGGTTCCCAAAGGATCTGAGCATGAGGACCACAGTCAGAGGCCAGGGTCTCCCATGGGCACTGCTGGCAGCGGGGGCCAGGTCATCCTTTGTCCTGGGGGCTGTGCTGTGTGTGTAGGGTGGACGTCAGTATCCCCAGCTTTGCCCACTGGGTGCCATTCGCATGTCCCTCCACAGCTGTGGCAACCACAATGCCCCAGGCCTTTCCAGATGGCCCTGTGGAGAGCCGCTGCTCTGAGGGAGAGAACAGGTGCGCGGTGCCCTCTGGCACAGTAGTAACCTCTTTTTTACGATACTACTCTCTCTCGCTCTTTCTCTCTCTTTTAAAAAACATTTTATTGATTTTTTACAGAGAGGAAGGAAGAGGGATAGAGAGTTAGAAACATCGATCAGCTGCCTCCTACACACCCCCTCCTGGGGATGTGCCCGCAACCAAGGTACATGCCCTTGACCGGAATCGAACCTGGGACCCTTCAGTCCGCAGGCCGACCCTCTATCCACTGAGTCAAACCCGTTAGGGCACCACTTCTCTTCTTTGCATTTGGAATATTTCCTATTTATGGCCAATAGATCCCGGGTCAGCAGGTTGCTGCTGCTCTTGTGCGAATGAGACAGACCTCAAAGCGGGGTCCCGGAAGTCTTCCAAACACGTGCAGGCAGTGCGGGCCCGTGTTTTCCTGTCTTGTGTGGCTTTGAAATGGCCCATTGACCAAATTCCCTCGTGGCTCCTTGGCTGAGATTGCCCCACGGGAAGTTACTTTCCAGCTGTGATGAGATGGGACCCTTACGGCCCATGTCCCCCCGCCCCCACCCCTACTCCCCCAGATCTGGAGCTCCTGATGGATGAGCAAGGGTTCTCTGCTTCTCGGTCACATTCCTGGTTGGCTTCCCGACCTCACCGCCCGCCCGTCCCTTCTGTCCCATCCTGACTTCCTGAGCTGCTGGCTCCTGCGTCCTCCGCTCCCCTTTCTGACGGGGCAGCCCGGTGGCCTGGAGGACGCCATTGGTGACTCAGCGGTGACTGTGCGGAAGGCTCTTGCTTGCCCATGCCCGGGACCCTCTCGAAGTCTGTCTGGCGTGTAGCACATGTACGTGTGTGGTTGATTTCACCTGGAGAAGGGGGCTGGGCCACCCAGCCTCACGGGCCGTGCACCCGGCCTGCCAGGGCCGCACCGGGTGTAGCAGGGGTTCCCGGGGCCAGAATCGCGGCCCAGGGCCACGTGCTCAGGGCTCTGGGACGATCCCCCGTAGATGCAGGTCGGAGCCCAGGCGTCCCCAGCACGCCCAGTCTTGGAACGCTTCTCCTTGTGAGCACCTGTGATGCCGCCAGGTCCTCGGGGACACGCGCTGGTGTTATTACAGACCTCGCACCGTGTCATCTGAGTCCCAGGCTCCGGTGTCACCGAGCAGATTGGCTCCTCAGCGTCAGGCCCCAGTGAGGACTGGCCAGGTCCTTCTTCCATCACAACCCTGTAGGCCGGTCCCCATCCCTAAACCAGAGGTCGCCGGCAGATACAGAACAACTAAGTAAAGGAGGCCATGGCGGTCCCATCCCTGCCCCCCTCTCCACCCCTACCCCCATCGTGTGCCGCTTACATTTCTTTCTGCCTTTCTCTCCTGAGGCGCCTGGGCTCGGCTTGACATTGTCCCAGATGCTCTGCTTGTCCTCCTGTCCCCCACAGCGTGTGCTCCACGGTCAGACAGGCTGTCCCTGCCCTCAACCCCCTTTTGTGAATGTTTGGCTTATGTTTTACCGCTTCTGTTTCTAAAGCGATTCTGTGTTGGATTGAGGGGTTAACATTCGTTGATTTAAAATAAAGTGCTTGTCCCAAACACAGTATGGCATGAATTTTACTTAAAAAAAAATTTTTTTTTAAATTCTTTACATTGGGGTCTTAGCTGCTGTTGCAGAGGGAGGGGGAGGCAGCGCCCCTGTGTCCCTCCCAGAGTCCACCTGCTCGGGTCCTGGGGCTCTGGTCCTGCTGGGGCCCCGAGGGAGGCGGTGAGCAGCCGTCCGCTTCGACTTGCATCCTAACCCTCTTCCCCCCGCCCCGTTGTCGGCCTTCTCTCCTGCCAGGTTCGGCCACCCTCCACCACTGGCAGCAGTTGGCCCAGCCTCACCTCGGGGGTATCCTGGACCCTCGGCCCGGGGTGGTCACCAAGGGCTTCCGGACGCTGGACGTAGACGTGGACGAAGTGTACTGCCTTAACGACTTTGAAGAAGATGACACAGGTGACCACATTTCCCCCCCGGGCCTAGCTACCTCCACGCCAGCACAGCACCCAGAGACCTCAGGTGAGAGGTCCCGAGCGCACGTGACTGTCGCAGGCGGCAGAAGCTCCCCGAGCCGGCCTCAGGCTTCCCCAGAAGAGATGCAGGAGCCGGCGGCCATGGAGGAGGAGGAGGAGGAGGAGGAGGGGTCTGGTGAGGGCACCGAGATAAGTCCTGTGCACCCGGCATCTTTACCGGAGGCAGCGTTCTGGGCCATTCTCACCTCTGTCCCCAGCACCATCCGTAGCGGCTCTGTGTCTGTGGCTTCCGCGCGTCCGTGTGGGTGACGATGGAAGCATTCCCATTGCGCAGCTCCGTGTCTAACGTGCAGTCCCAGGCCTCCTTTCGTAACACATGGGCCCAGCTCCCTGCCCGCCTTGGAGGTACACGCCCGGCGGGACTCTGGACACCGGAGGAGGAAAGGCTGCTAAAAAGAAGTGGATTCTTGTCCCCACTCCCCATCCCCTAGAACAGTGTTTCCCAAACTTTTGGCATATGGGTACCCCTTCTACAATATAATTTTCGCCACGCTGAGTACCCCTCGTACTCATCTACGGTGCCCCACCAAACTCCGGTGCAAGGCGTACCCCCACCTAACCCTTCCCGTACCCCTGGGGGTACGTGTACCACACTTTGGGAAACACTGCCCTAGAACACCAGCTCCCCAACACCCCCCGCTCCTGCTATGGGTCTCTCCCGGTGTCTGAGGGACAGATCCCGGTGTCTGAGTCCCCTGGCCATTTCCACGCTGAGCTGAGCTGAGCTGAGCTGAGCTGAGCTGAGCTGGGCTGGGCAGTTGCAGGGGAAGGGAATGAGCCCCCGTTACCTGCACGCTGACCTGGGGTAGGAGAGAGCCAGGAAGTGTGCGGGGTTTGAGGCGCCACTCGGGCAGCCTTTGCCCTTTCCTAACTTGAATGCAGGTATCTGTGCCCCTTCCCCGCACGCGTGCTCGGAGTGGATTTTTAAGAATTGTTGTAGCAATGCTCCTGAGCCACCCCAAGCCCGAGTGATGGCAGGAAGCTGTTCCAGAGAAAGGCGCAGGATGAATCAGGAAAGCTCATGGCCCGTCTCTCCCCTATGAACCCCTCACACTGTCCCAGCAAGCACGCAAGCCGTGGCCGTGAGTTGATGGGACTGCCAGGGGCACTGGCTTGAAAAGCTTCATGCTCGGGGCCTGGGGCCCAGGGGCCAGACCTCCAGGACCTCCTGGTGGCTTGCGCTAGGGAGGCCGGGTAGCTTTGATGGGATAAGGTGAGAGACCCAGAAAAGGATGGGTCAACCAATGTCTTCGTTCCCATGGCAGCTCCGAGGCATCCAGCTTAAAAAGAGGATGTCCACTCATCGTGGTGGGTCTCGCTTTTCATTCCTGAAGGCCGCCACGTTCCCCCTGCAGTGCCAGGCCCGACAGAGCCGAGGTTCCCGGCAGCGTCTCCCAGCCAAACCCTGGCTGAGTTCAGAGGCCGATCGCCAAGGAGCCTTAGCGGGGACCAACTCTTCTTCTTTTCTTTAACACCAACTTGAGAGGTCTCTCAGAGTGCAAAGGGTTTGTTCAGCAAACGGGTTTATGTGTGGCTTGTTTTCTTTTCCGGAGCGGATTAAGGGACCAGGTGAAGCTTGGAGGGGATGACAGTGCTTGTTGTGTAGCATCTTCACACTTCAGAGAGGGAGCCCAGGGTGCTGTCATCTCCCTTCGTTAGGGGCACCAGGAAGGCAGACAATAGTTCAGGAAACACAACTTTACCCTCGTGGCTGAAGTGGGAGGGAATCTTGTCCCGTGTGGTGGCCCCTCCCTTCAGCCCTGCCCCCGGAGCAGGGGTGTATCTGGAAGTTTAAAGACAGACACACCTTTAAGATGTACAGAAGGAGTACCGCTTAGCAAGTCAGCTGAGGACTCCTCTAGGAAGATGGAGGGAGAGAGGGGGCCGAGGATGAGGATCTGAGTCCTGACGGCTTTTCTTAACGAAACAGAGACCTGGTTCTTGCTTCTTCCCTCCAAACTCAAACCCGGCAGCATACCCATCCCAGCACCTCGGAGGAGCGGTTGGAAGTGAGCGGCCCGACAGAAGTGTGTGGGCTGCGGAAGGGAATTTAGGGACCATCTGGTTGTGTAGGGTTTTCAGGGTGAGACTTGGGAAAAGCTCAGTGTAGTGAGGAAAGGCCCACGCAATGGTTTGGCTCTTTTTTTTTTTTTTTTTTTTTTCCCTATTAACGGGAAGGACAAGACCCTTTCAATTCTTGGAATGAAAGAAGCAGGTCACGCTGAGTCCTGACCTCAGAGGCCCTGAGGGGCACTAGGCACACAATCTTGGAGTCAAGGGTGGCCACTGAGCTTCGGCAGGAAGGCCTGGGAACCTTCCGTGTTGGCGTGTGTATCCAGGCTAGTCTGGTCCCCGCGCTGGTCCACCCTCCATGCTCCGGCTCTTCTGTCTGAGAAGCTGCCATCTGCCTGGGAAGACCGAGTAGGGAGAAACTTAGAAGACAAAGATGATTCGCCTTCTTTTCATGCAACTGGATGGTGGAAGGAAATTGGGAAGTCTTGTGTATCAGGCACGTTTGTCTAGCGTCTGCTGTCTCACGGAGAAAAAGTTTTGAGTGCATATTGAAAAAAAAACTATTAACGTATTTTCATGTGTTATTTTTGTATCATTATTTGCTGTTTTTTTTTTTTTTTTAAATAATCCCATGTCTTGAAAACAATGAATTCTTGTTTTCATATTTGTAAATCATTTAGATAATTAAAGTGGATTCTTTAAAACAATTTTAGATTATAGTTTTACTTTATTTCAGTGACATTTTTATGACTTAATTCATCTAGAAAGGGCACCTTATCAGAAGAGGGAGTCTTCTCTGGATTGCTCGTGCTTTGAGCTTTATGTGTTCATGAACAGGCAAGAGCCTGCGTGCTTGGGTCAAGGGTTAGATCAGAGTTTTTAAAGTATGCAGCTGTGATGGTAGGTGTTTGGGCGGACAGGTCAGCTGAATTTTCTTGGCTGCCTTGATCTTTAAAGGGGAGAAGGAGGTGGGATTAAAGCCACAGAGATAGAAGAAAGTGAAGATCTTTTTTTTTCTTTTTTCTTTTTTTCTTCTTTTTTTTAATACTCAGACATGTGGAGTCCATTTAAAGGGGAAGGGACACCCTAAAATAGGCTCCTACAGATAGACAGACCACGGCAGCCTTCAGACAGCGGCCGTGTGGGGCTGTGCCTCACCTCTGGCTGCACTTTCTCTCGGACAGCTGTGTGGGCTCATGTGAGGGGTCGTTTAAGGACCAGATGCCACAGTGGATTTTAGAGAGGAAACTTTCTGCCCTCCCAGCGCCTGACCAGCCTGTCCTCCCTGTGGGCGAGGGAGGACGGGACCACTCAAAAGGAATGACGTGCAAGAGCCGGTGTGTACACGTCTGGCCTCGTGGCTGGCCAGACTGAAGAGTTCCAGGCGTCCTCAGGTCCCCACCAGTGTACTTGCCCTGTCCCTGCTTCCTTCCTCTTCTCACCATTAGTGCCATGGACCATGGGGAGAAGGTGGGCTTTCTTGCCCAACCCCCCTAGAAGCCAGAGTCTCACAAGCAGCAATCACCAGGCCTCCGTATCAGTCACAAGGTCTAATAACAATCACCAGGTCCATTAGCAATCACCAAGTATTGTATAATAGAAATCACCTTTTAGAAATCACCAGATCTACTAGAAATCACCAGGTCTCTATATCAGTCACCAGGTCTATGTAGCAGTCACCAAGTCTAGTAGTAATTACCAGGTCTAGTAGCAATCACCAGGTCTAGTAGCAATCACCATGTCTAGTAGCTATTACCAGGTCTAATAGCAATCACCAGGACTACTAGCAATCCCCAGGTTTAATAGCAATCACCTGGTCTACTAGCAATCACAGGTCTACGTGGTGTACTTGCAGATAATCCCGAGCACAGTCTGCAGGGCAGGCCATCGCTGGAGATGGGATGGGGGTAGGGTGCCTGGCACCCCCATGACTGGTGCAGCAGCAGGATCCCAGTCTCAGTTTTCCGGTTGGTACCAGGTTTCACAGCCCCCAGAGGAGCCTCGCACTCAGAACCCTTTCCCAAGTGCACCTCTCTAGGCAGAAAGAGACACGTTGGTTGGATCAGAGAGTGGTGAGCAGGGTGCCTGTTGCCCTTATAAGCGCTCCAGCGCCCACTGCCGCTGCCCAAAGGGTGTGTGCTCACACGTGCCAGGCTTTCAGAACAGAAATCCGCACACTCTCCACCAGTATGCAGTTCACCAGCGCAGACCTCCAATAATCCAGGACTAATTAAGTGATCTCTGATCGAGGAGGATTTTGTGCCAGTGTCAGAACCTGGGGAAGGAGGAACACATAAAACGAATGAAGGATTAGGACAGGACACAGGGCAGTGGTCGGCAAACTCATTAGTCAACAGAGCCAAATATCAATAGTACAACGATTGAAATTTCTTTGGAGAGCCAAATTTTGTAAACTTAAACTTCTTCTAACGCCACTTCTTCAACATAGACTCCCCCAGGCTGTGGTATTTTGTGAAAGAGCCACACTCAAGGGGCCAAAGAGCCGCATGTGGCTCCTCGAGAGCTGCAGTTTGCCCACCACAGGATTAGGGGTTTTACTGGGAAGTGTCCCTCCTTCCTGAATAAAATCCTAATGAAGCCCATTTACTCTCTCCGTACAACTCTGGGAAAAATGTCAGGCTGAGCCGAAACCGGTTTGGCTCAGTGGTAGAGCATCGGTCTGCGGACTGAAAGGTCCCAGGTTCGATTCCGGTCAAGGGCATGTACCTTGGTTGCAGGCACATCCCCAGTAGGGGATGTGCAGGAGGCAGCTGGTCGATGTTTCTCTCTCATCGACGTTTCTATTGTAGCTCTCTATCTCCCTCCCTTCCTCTCTGTAAAAAAATCAATAAAAATATATATTTTTAAAAAAAGAAAAGAAAGAAAAAGTCAGGCTGAGAAGAAGAATGAGGGTTTAAGTAGGATGTCAGAGCATCGAGTCCAAGAACCCATGTCCTCGGAGTCCCAAGTGAGCAGCACTGGGGCTGCTCCGCGGCCGCACCAGGAGCCTGAGCGACTCACTCACTGTCCCTGTGTTGTGTCCCAAGGAAGGGAGGTGCTGCAGCGGCCGGGCAGGCGGTGACACGTGCGGAGAGAGCTGACGGGTCCAGGTGTCCCAGCGGTATTTCCGAGGGGTCCGACCTCTGGCTTTGGCACTCTTGACGCGGGTGGATCTTCCTTGGTCTTCTAAAGCCATCTCTTCCTTCTGGGGACAATGACTTCTGAATTTTAGCAGCCTTTTCCTCTCCCCAAAACCCATTTGCATTCGATGGGTTTTGCTTCTGCTGATGATGCAGCTGTGTCTCTGAAATGTCCATCTTACACCCCCTGTTGCAATCAAGGTCCAGATGGGACGGGGGAGGAGGAGGTGGGCCTCAAGGCCCCTTGATTGGATGTTCTGGCCATGCGTTCAAATGGGGCGGCTTCTGGGTTCCCATCCTGTCTTGCTTTTGTTTGGTTTCTTTTTCAAATGTTACCTGTTCTTTATTCTTTTGCCTTAATAACTTCTGTGTACCGCTTTTTCCTCCCCCCTCCAAACCACCCCCCCCCCCCCGCCTGGATAACCCCCTGCGTTATTTGGGTTCCCTTCCCAGCTGTCCTGTTGCTTTTGTTCCTAGACCTCATGGCAGTCCAAGACTCGTGATTGTTCGGTTGCCTTTTTCTGCAGCTTATTCCATTTTTGTTTTGCTCGCAGCAGTTCCTCGGTTATCCGAGTTCCCAAGCCATCCCATCTTTTGGTTGAGAAGCACAGATGCATAAAGGCTATTTTTATGTGCCTCCCCGCTCACACCCTCCCCCCCCCCCCACATGGCCTGGAGCTCCCTGTGGTTGAGCGTTCGCTTCCGTGGCCGTGGTGCTCACTGGGTGCCACGCCAGGGGCCACGGGAGCCTGCCTTGACCCAGAGAGGCGGGTCGGGCCGTAATAATCAGGACACACCAGCCCCATGTTGCTCCCTGAGTCACCGCCACCATTTTTGTGCTCTGGCTCTGTCCTGCCTGCCTTTAGTTTGCGTGTCTCCAACATTTTTTTGTTTATTTGTTTTATCTGGTTTCCAGTTTTTTGGTTATTTATTTTTTTTTAGTTTTTGGTTTTGTGTTTTTAAAGACACAATCACTCATGTGTGGATCTGGGTCTGGAGCACCGCTCTCTTCTGTTTTGCCATCCTTTTTGGTCAAATCTAAGAGAAAACTTGCCATAGAGAGCTGGAAGATTCCCATTCGCTGCCTCTTGAATCTTCAGGGCGCTCATGGCCTCTGATGCTCGAATCCGTTTCCTCCCAGGAGGTCTCTGGGGGGCTGGGCTGCTGCAGGGCGGGCGGGCGGGCGGGGTGGGCGGGGTCTCCCGGTCCTTCGTCGCGCATGCTATTGATAGTTGGAGCAGCATTTTTTCCTCTTTTTATTTATTTTTATTTTTTCGATGTTTGAGTTATGAACGAGGGTGACCTCTACAATCATGATGTCTCCCGTAGACCTCCCTACCCATCACTCACCTGCCCGCTGCTGCATGGTCCTTACGCTTCTGTGATTTACTCTGCTCCAGCTCACAGCCTCCAGCCGCCTTAGCAACAACCCTGGAGACCGTCCAGAGGAAACCTGTGGCCGTCTCACTTTCATGAAAATCAGACCTCCTGGAGGCGCAGGAAAGCCGCCTGGGCTGGGGCTGGTGCTGCCGGCGTCTCCCTGTCCGGTAGCACCACAGACGGGCCCGGGGCTGGTCTCAGCCACGTTGTTGCTGAGGCAGCTGAGCTCCTGTCCCTGCTGCAGGCCACAGACAGGCAGTAGTGGAACCAGCCTCCCCACGCCACGCCCCTTTTTGTGCAAACAGAAAAGGGAGCCCAGTGAGCCGAGCCCTGTTCCCAGGGGGCCGGCGCTTCTACCCCCCACCCCCACCCCCCGTCCCGCCACTCCCTTTGGCAGAGTTTGGCACCCATTTGCCAGCGAAAGGCAAAGCCAAGCCACAAAGACAGAAGCCGATTCTGACCTCTGAAGAGGGCAACCAAACTGACCCCCACAGGCCTCTTGGCCCCTCACGCTGGATCCACTACTGCCCCGAGAACGCGATGCGCAGCCCTGTCCGGACTGGGCCGGAAGCCGGGTCCGTGCCCTGCACGCCGGCGCTCAAAAGCGTGGCTGCTTTTGAGGGACCCCCTTCGACCCAGAACGTTTGCGTTTCCTCCTTCCTGGCCCAGATCCGGTTCACAAGGTAGCTCATCGCTTCTTGCATCTGTGGAGGGCCGAGCCGGATTCTCCTCTTCTCGCGGATGTACTTGGATGCAAGAAATACGTTTTGTCTCTCCTCCCCCCCCCCCCCATCTAGCGCACCACCCTGGGAAGTGCATGTCACAGACCAACTCCACCTTCACCTTCACCACCTGCCGCATCCTGCACCCTTCCGACGAGCTCACGAGGGTGACGCCAAGGTAAGGGACCCAGGCCGGGGGGTGAGCGGGGCCGGGGTGGGGTGGGGTGGGGGCTCTCCTTGCCAAGGAGACATAGTGCCAGGGGAAGCCCAGGCAGAGAGAGAGGCTCATTCCACATGGCCTTGTCCAGCTGAAGCCATCTCGTAAGCGCCTGCAGGCTCCTGTACCGGGTCCCGTGTTTCCGTCCGACCTGAGGTCCCTGTTACTTCAGATCCATGCAGATAGAGGCGGGGCCGCCTTCTGTTGCCCTTCCAGCTGGTCACGGGAGATTCCCAGGTCCGAAGCCCATGTCTACTGGCATTTTACCCCAAGGTTTGCCAGGAGAGCCCGGAGTTTCTTCCTTGGACCCCCTTGTGCCCCTGCAGTAGACCTCAGGAACCATGCCCCACAGCGCCCCTGATGGAGATGATCGAATCTAAAGACCGGGCCACGTGCCCAGCGTGATTCATTTCCCTCCAGTGCCTCGGAGAAGCCATAGAAGTTGGCACCTTCTGGAGAGGGGTCTTGTGTGGCCTGGGGTGGTCTGCGTGGCCTGATTTCAGGTCTCCCACAGCTTCCAGGGAAAGGGAGTGACCCGTTTTCTCTGTGGTGCCAGATGCCAGAGGGGTGAAGGTACAGCCGAGTGGAGGGAGGCAAGCCGGGCCAGCGTGGAGGGAGCAGTCACCCCGAGGCGCCCCCTCAACTCTGAATAACTCTCCGCAGGTCATGTGAGGAGGACGGCGAAGCGGCCCCAGGCCCCGTTGAGCTGAGAGGAGGTGTAGGGCAGACAGTGAGCCCACGGGCCAGGCAGGCGGTGAGCACACGCCAGCTGTGCCTGCCCCGGCAGGGCCACGTGGAAAGGGCTGTGTGTGTGCACACGTGGCCGCCACTAACCCGGGACTCAGGCGTGGGTGTGTCTCTGTGGTTGCGCCTGGCTAACTCGGCTTGGACGGTGGATACCCCTAACCAGCTAAACCACCCCGTTGAGCCAAGCGCCGGCACTAATCCAGGCCTAACCGAAGTCTTCACTGGAAGGGATCTCCACATTGTAGCTTATCTTCCCCCATCTCCCTTCCTGCCTCCGGACAACCTGGCTCTCCCCGTCCTCTTAGGAGGAGATTGGGGTTCAAACCGTGGGACAGGGCTTCCCCCCCCCTCCCCCAGGGGAGACTGGTGCCCGGCCTGCACGTCTGTCCGTCTGTCCGTCCGTCCGTCTGCATCCCTGGGGCCGTGTCGTGGACGGGGAAGTCTGGGTATTCAGGAGCAAGAGCAGGCTCCTGCCTGAAAGAATGGCAGCTCGGACCAGGAGGAAACCCTCCCTGGGAACGTCCCTGGGAACGAGATGTCCCGCCCGGAGCCTCTTCGCCCTCCGTTGCTTGTAAATCGGTATTTTGTAGAACTCCACCTGCACCATTGGAAGAGTCCACCTTTAACCTTAGGAATCACCGTGGTCTCTAATCGTGTGTGTCCCCCCTGAGTGGCCCTCGACCACCAGCGTCCCTGCCTGAGCCTGTGGGGGTGGGCCTGCTCGGCGTGCCTCTCCCTGTGCTGACCAGTCACAGCGAGGTCGCCTGAGCGTGGAGCCGACTGATGCTGCAGCTTGGACCCGCCTGGGATGGTGCCGCCCGAGGAGGCGGGCCCTGAAGGGTCATCCCAGGAACGGGCTCCGGAGTGTGTCCCCTTCCTTCCCTTTCCCTACGTTGGTGCTTTGCCCAAGGTATCTGGTCTTCTCCCCATCAGGCTGAGGAGAGAGAGCCCTGCCCCCAGCTCCCGGAGACCACCCAGCTGGCCTGCTCCCGGGGGCACTGAGCCAGCTGGGCCTTCCCCCTGCTGGGCCTCTGCACTGTGTGTCCCCCTTCCTGGCCCGGCGTCTGGGTCCTTAGCCAGCCTGACACGAGTGGGCGTAGGGACCTTCGCTGTCCTTCAGTCACAGGGCTGACACCCACCGGGCCCTGTCCGGGTGGCTCCATAGACGCAGGTCTGCCAACACAGCACGGCCTCCTCCCACCCTGTGGCTGCTCTCGTCCAGTTACCCACGGGGAGGGCTGGGCGCCTCCGCGCAGAGGAAAGAGCACTGTCCTGCGAGTCAGGGGACGGGGTCTGCCGCTGACTTGATGAGCTCCTTCAGCCTCTGTCTCCCCGTTGCCGAGAGGCCCCCCAACCTGGGTGTCCCGCCTGCTCTGGCCATTCCGAGACACACCCACTTCTGCCCTCAGGGAAGTGGGTAGTGGGTAGTAACTCTGGAGTTTGAGCCAATCTTGAGAGAAAGAAACCCTCTCCGTCAAAGGGCTTCCTCCCGCATTGGGGTGGCGGGTGTCACTGTACTTGGGTTCGCACCAGGGTCCTCCCCTTTCTAGCTGAGTGTGACCTTGAGGGAGCCACCTGACCCTGAGTCTGTTTCCTTACCGGCAAAGGGGACAGTTACACATACCCTGTGCAGCTTCCTGTGGACTGAACCCCCCCCCCCTTCCCCCAAGGGAATCCGAGCCCCTGGGTGAGGGGGGCGCAGTCATGGAAGGAAAGGGGCATTCGGGGCGGGGCTGGGGGCATCCTCTCGCCGTGTCCTGGGCCCGCCCTGCACCTCTGCAGGAAACTGCCCTCGTCCCTGGCACTCGGGGGCACTTTCTGATGGATGCCCGCTTGTCTCTCTCTTCCTTTCAGCCTTAACTCAGCCCCGACTCCAGCTTCTGGCAGCGCCAGCCACCTGACGTCCACGCCGGTGGCCACGCCATGCACGCCCCGGAGGCTGAGCCTGGCCGAGTCCTTCACCAACACCCGCGAGTCCACGACCACCATGAGCACGTCGCTGGGGCTGGTGTGGCTGCTGAAGGAGCGGGGCATCTCGGCGGCCGTGTACGACCCCCAGAGCTGGGACCGGGCCGGCCGGGGCGGCTCCCTCCTGCACGCCTACGCCCCCAGGATGGCCGCCATCCCCTCCACCCCGCCCAACTCGCCCATGCAGACGCCCACGTCCTCCCCGCCCTCCTTTGAGTTCAAGTGCACGAGCCCGCCCTACGACAACTTCCTGGCGTCCAAGCCGGCCAGCTCCATCCTGAGGGAGGTGAGGGAGAAGAAGCCCGTCCGGAGCAGCGAGAGCCAGACGGACGTGTCGGTCTCCAACCTCAACCTCGTGGACAAAGTCAGGAGGTTCGGTGTGGCCAAGGTGGTGACCTCGGGGCGAGCCCCCATCCCCATCTTGACTGAGGACCAGGGGCCTCTCCTCTGTGGGGCCCCGGGCCCCGCGCAGGCCCTTGTCCCCGGAGGCCTGGGACCCGAGGGCCTGCCTCTCGGATGCGCCGCCGTCACCAGTGCCATCGGCGGGCTGCAGCTCAGCAGCGGCATCCGGCGGAACCGCAGCTTCCCCACCATGGTGGGCTCCAGCATGCAGATGAAGGCCCCTGGCACACTCACCTCGGGCATCTTGATGGGTGCTAAGCTCCCCAAGCAAACCAGCTTGCGGTGAGGGTGGCAGGTGGGGCCCTTCCTCGGAGGAGACCAATCTTGTCCTTCCTCCCTCGCTTCCCCCTCCCCCCCTGAACTGCGCGCTCGCTCGCTCTTCCCTTCTCGCCCATCCCGTCCTGAGCTAGACAAATCAACCTCGTGCCTCATGGGGGAAAGAGCGGAGACTTTTGTAAAATGTGTACATAGGACTTGGAGACCAGTATCCAACCGGCCCTTCCTTCCGATCCCGCGGGCAGTGACCCCCACACTGTCATTGCTCTCGTGAGGACTTTGCCTGTGCCGGCCTGGGGGGCCGGGCGGGCCTGTGTCCTTTCCTCCTTCTGTCCTTTGAGAAGCACTGAAACTCCCCAGGGCGTTCTTATCCCATGGATAGGGAACCAGGGAACTCTTGGCGGGCCGCCAGTGTGCCCGTCATGAGCTGTCACACGGCACAGGGCACAGTGGCCCTGCCCACACCCTCCCTCCCTCCCCCACCCCGTGTCGTCGGGCGCCTCGCCTCGCTCGCCCTGCAGGAGCTGTAAGGAGCCTCCGTCCACAGCCACATGCAGCTGGTGTGGCCTCCGGGACCAGAGAGAGAGCTGTTCGTTCTTTTCCGGGCGATCCAGCTCCTTCGAGACCCTCACCCTCTGCCTCCGGGGACGGTGGCTTCCTTTCTGAGGCGTGACGTCGTTGGCTTCCCACACGCCTTCAACCTGAAGTCATCCTTCAAAGTCTTGCGATCAGCTGTCGGGCCAGGCACCTGGCCCGAAAGAGAACGTGTTTACACTCCGCCGTGCGTGTCCTGTTCCATTTTTCTACGTTTTATAGGCAGGGAAGCAGTGGTCCCCGAGGGGGGAAAGGCCCAGGGTACGTTCTCTCTGTGGTTCTGCGGCACCAAAACACGAGTGGCAGGCACACCAAGCCGCTCAGGAGATGGCTTATTTTCCGGGAACCCAAGTGGCACAGCCCAATTGAATAAGATCAGGCCCAAGACAACCTCAGCGCTAGCAGTACAAGGAAAGGGGACAGAGGAAAAAGGTTATGAATGAAATACATCGACCAATGAAAAAGAACCAGAAGCAAACGTAACACCAAACTGGTTCACGGGGTGGAGGAGCGAGGCCTTGGCCTGTGGCTGGGTCCACTCCTTACTCCAAAGCCCGAGTCCGGTCCAGGCGCTTTTCCTCCTGCGGTCTTTCGTGGCAGCCATTCGAGGCCCACACATTTTGCTCCCCCCCTCCTTCATCTGCCCCCCCAGAAAGCCCTCTGCCTCCCGGTGCCACTTTTTATCCTTAGGAAAAGATAAAGGTGCTCGTGACACGACCGTGAGTGAGCAAGGGGGCCCCGTCCGGTGGCCGTCGCGGAGTGGGCCCAGAACCCGTATTTATTACTGCTTGTGTGTGCTGTGTTCTAAACAGGCACCCCCGCTCCTCCTGCCCTGGTCACAGAGTGTCTGGCACTCTCATCAAAGCAGGTCATTTATTTATTCTAATCTGAAGCCTACCGTGTACCTCATGGTGTCCCGTGGCCATTTATTCCCGACATGTATGCAAGGGTGACATCACATGCAAGTGAAATTGCCATTTTGCACTGCCCCCCCCCCCCACTCCCCGCACATACACACACTCTCCCGTCTCCACTTGGCATTCGATTGAAGGTGTGTCATTCGATTGAAGGAGTGTAACCTTATGTCCGCCGGAGACACCGTAAGGAAGTCCCCAGGAGCGAACCCCAGTCCCACGATTTCAGACTATTTATTCTGTGAACACGAAGAAGGTGTTGGCCAGCTGTTCCCAACACCCCTCGTGGCTGTATGCGGGCACTCAATGCAAGGAACGTACATCTTCTTATCCGAATGTATTTTAAAGCAGTAGGTAGAGTAACAAAGGAAGATGAGAACCATGCCTTGAACGGACCACTTTATGAATTCAGAGAGAGGAGCCACCCGTCATCCCAAAGGGAAAAGCAGCAGTTCGGAGGTTGCCGTATTTGGGGTAGTAAATAAAGGATCAACATGGGGCAGCCGCTCTCAAAAAGTGTGTTGTAATGCATCAAAAATCAATAATAAGATTTTCTTTGCTAATGAATATCAATAAAATAAGTTCAAATGATGGAAACCACAAGGGTATTGCGATTTACATTTTTTTAAAATCTTTTTCATGATGACCTCTTTAGGTAAGAAGACTTGAAGGTTTTCAGCTCTTTGGGGAAATGAAACAAAAGCCATGCAGTTCTTTACATACTGTCATACCTGCCCTTTATTTGAACACTAGAGGCCAGGTGCACAAATTCATGCACAGGTGGGGTACAGCCAACCTGCCCTGATGGGAACTGATCAGGGCCAGGCCAGAGGCGGGGAGGGGCGGTGGGCAGTTGGCTGGCCCTGCCCCCCATTGGAGTGGGGCTGGGGCCAGGCTGGCCAGGGGAAGGGGCCGCTGAAGGTGGACCGATCGGGGCCTAGATCAGGCCGGTTGGCCACCACATTGCACATCATAGCAACCGGTTGTTCCAGTTGTTTCACTGTCCCAGTCACTTGGCTTTTATAGATATAGATAATATAATATCCTAGACAACTTTCCAATCATAACCTGAAGCTCTTCTCTACTTTCCAGGGCTGTCTACTACCCCACCACATGCACATCCCCGATATGACCAGTATAGACCAGTATTCTATGGCTGGGCATTGCGTTAACTCTAATCTTTTGCTACTGCAGCACTGTCATGAAAAAAAACTTTGCTTGTATATAATTTTCCACATCCCTGAGCACATCTGCAAGACAGATTCCTTCCTACTATCAAATTGCTGTAGAGTTGTGTTAGGAGACTTTAAAAAACCAAACACAGTGGGAGGATCACCAAAGAAAGACTTGTGGGAAAAGGATACAATAGAACTTACCCTGTCACCTCCATGTTGGGAAGCAGTAAAATGATGCCAGCAGACAGTGGGTTGTCGCAGCGTGGATTTTATACCCGGTGCTACCATTGAGTAGTGGTGTGACGTTGGACCAGCCAGTTCTTTGGGTCCTCCTGGAAAACGGGCACAGGAGTCCTTAGGATGAATTGGCTGAGTAAGTCTATTCTGAACACCTACCATGTGCCAGGTTGTGGGTAGCGGAGATCTGATGATGAACCAGTGAGCAGCTTCTCTCGTGGAGTGTGCCTGCCATCAGGCCACCGGAGAGAGGCAACACTAGACAGGGCAGCGTGGCATGCTGAGGGCGAGCAGGGAATTACAATAGGGTGGTGTGAGGGAGTGGGTGGCTGGCTACTTCAGGATACCAGGGAAGGCCTCTTAGGAAGGTGGCATCTGGGCCAGCCCTGTGAGATGTAGCAACAAGAGCATTCGCAAGGAGAGCGGTGGGTGCGAAGGCACAAAGGTCGGAAAGCACTTGGTGTGTTTGGGAAGCAGAGAGAAGGGCATCGGTAAAGAAATGAGTCCCAGTTGTGGCTGAGAAACTATGGTGTTCACCAAACGGGCCATCTGGTCTACGTGTTTCTCAGCCATGTAGTAGGCAAGGGTATATAAGTGTTCTGGCCAGTGGGCTGTGAGCAGAGAAGATTCCGTGCCGCTTCCTGCCCCTGAAGCCACGTGTTGAAATGGTGGCATCACACCACGGTTGGCGGAGTCCCATCCTCCTGGGTCTTGGAGGAACCTGATGGACCAAACTCAGCGCCAACCCCCATTTGATGTGATCTGAAGGAGAAACAAACGAATGCGGGCACTGGGCCATAGATGCCACCTGGAGAGAGGTTGGTGGCAGTGGGAAGTTATTCTGAACTATGTGAATGGACTGGATACTCATTAGAGGGGTTAAGTCAAGATTTAGGAAAATACAAAATTCATGTCTTGCACCTTTGGGCTCACGGCCGGGAAACATATATTTCCTGGGAGAATGTATTTCCTGTGGCCAGTAGAGGGCGCTTGGAGACAGCAGAAATCGGGAAGGAATGGGCCCTGAGCATCCCAGCCTGCAATCAGGTGTGTTGGCTTTCCCCTGGAAAGCAATTCGGGCAGGTGGCTGTGCCTCACCGAGACGCTAGGGGAAGTCATGAGGCAGGAGCCAAGTTTGCCTTGATGAAGGCACTCCAGGCCAACAGGCAGCATACACACAGGGGTATAAGTGAAGAAATTGAGCACAAAATGGGGAGGAAACACAGAAAAGCAAAACATAGTTTACAAAACATGTTCTATACTAGGGCAGTGGTTGGCAAACTCATTAGTCAACAGAGCCAACTATCAACAGTACAACGATTGACATTTCTTTTGAGAGCCATTTTTTTTTAACTTAAACTATATAGGTAGGTACATTGTTATTAACTTAAGGTACTCCTAATTTTGCAGAAGAGCCACACTCAAGGGGCGAAAGAGCCGCAGTTTGCCGACCACTGTACTAGGGTGTCCTCCCCTTTGGAAACAATTTTAATGCTCCTTCCTCGCATAACTTTACTCTGCTTTTCCCAGAGAAAGTGGGCCGTAGATAGCATGGTGCCTTACTCTTTAATACGTTAGTCCAAACCTCCCAAGCTCCCCACAGCCACTGCACACCAACGGAGCCCAGGGTCCTGGGAGGTGTCTGCTCAGCGGTACTTAGCCAGTCATCCTAAGAAACACCCAAGGTTTTGGCTAACCCTGCTCTGAAGTCCCAGGGGAAATTAGTGAGGCAGTGTTTTATTTTATTTTATTTTTTATTTTATTTTATTTTGGCTTGACTTCCGGTTGACTTACCTTCAGGACTAGCAATAATTTGAAGATGCTGATAAAACACACCAATATGCTAGTGTGGCTCCATCTCAATCTGGAAGTCTAGCTACGTGGTCAAGATTCTTTCCTTTATCTCTTAAACCCCGAGACGAGGGAAAAAAATGTCTTTGCGTTGTTGTTTGTTAAAAGGATAAGCGGAGATTTCTACCACCCTCCCTTCCCTTTCAGCTGTGACTGACAACCTGAGCACAAAGGTGCCGCTGGGGGCCGGAGGTTGGGTGCATTGTGGAAAGACCCCCTCGCTTTAGAGGGGAGACGTGTTACAGTCGGGTTAGGGAAAAGCAACTCGTGGGAAAGTGAGTTCTGCCCCCCCTCTAGCTGCTGACCACGTTGAGACTTGAGGGGGTCACCGGGCGGGGCAGGCTGGGCCTCTCAGAGCTGAGGCTCAGAGCTATCCATCCGCAAGTGCAGAGACTGCCGGCAACTTGATGCCTCCGCCTGATGCCTCCGCCTGGCCAGGAGCTGACACACACACACACACACACACACACACACACACCCAGGGCTACAGGCTCCATCCTCAATGCACTGCGGGGTCTTAGGCCAGTTTATTCCCTATAAAATGGGAGTGGGGGTAGGAAAAGAGTGTGTGTTTTGCTAGAATGATAGCTATGTTTTTTTTTCCAACTTGTAAACCTCAATGGATCAGCAACAAGGAGCCCGCAGAGCAGCCCTAATGGGCAGAGCCAGGGGTGCAGATGGCCAGAGCAGCTGGAGGAGGAGCGGCCTGGGGTGGAGGCCCTGCCCGCTGGAGGGATTCAAGAGGGGCAGCTGGCAGAGGGGGGTGGGAGGAGAGAAGTGAACTGGGAAGGGTAGGAGAGAGGAGGAAGAGGGGGAGGCAAGGGAATCGTGGGGGTCCCCAGGCTTCCTGATAGCAGAGCTCCCGAGCTGCTGTGAGACTTACTAGCTTAGCTGCAGAAGTCTGGCCAGAATCCCGAGAAAGGGCAGAGGGAGAGCCAGGCTGATGCCCTGGTTCCTGGTCCCTGTGTGGGCACGTGGCATACAGACCTGAGCAGGGCGGGGCAGTTAGGAGGGGCCCGTCCTGAATTCAGGGGTGGCGTTGAGTGAGGCTCAGGGGGCCAGATCTGTAGGTTCCCTCCCACCCCTGCCCAGTAAGCTCCACCCAGTCCCCTCAAAGCCATTCCAACTCCCACGCACGCTACTGTGGCTCCGCTCCCCGCTGCCACTCTGCGCTTTACCCAGACACGGGGGCTCGCTCCCAGCAGGGCGAGTTGTCTTTCTGCAGCGGGGCCAGCCTCGGCCCGGAAACCAGGGTGCAGGGCTGGGCTGTGCAGCTGGCGCCGCGGTCCTTACACACAGATACACACATATCCCCCTCTCCCCCACCTCCCACCTGCAGCATCGAAGCCAGCTCTCTTCCCGCCTCCTCCCCCCCCACCCCCCCCCCCCCATTTCTCTCGCCCTGCCTGGGACCATCTGCACCAGGGCACCAGAATCAGGCTTCCTTTTTCCTACCTTCCAGGGGCCCTCTGCCCTCGGGAGACACAGGGAGCAAGGGCACTGAATGAAATCACTTTAATAGCATCGCCACACTGGGGGACCAGGGTCACGGGGGAGGGAGACATCCGCCTTCCCGTTTGTACAATTCTGCTGAGGTGCACGGCTGAGCCCGACAATCTCACAGGGTTTTCACGTTGAGAACTTAATAAATAGACATTTAGAACGCCAGACTTCAGAGACGATGAGCGGTGAGTGTGATGGTTTCGTTATCTTGCCTCCTGGGGGCCAGGAGGGGGCTCCCCGTGGCCCTGGCGAGGGCCGGGGCCCTAGGAGGGGTACTCGTACTCCTCGGCGCTGCGCCTGCCGAAGTCCATCCAGCCCATGTAGTCCCGGTCGCTGATCCGGTGGGTGGGGTCCCGGCTCTGCAGGTTCTTCATCATGGACATGCGGCCAGAGGGAGCTGCAGGGGCGGGGAGGAAGGAAACAGGGCCGTTACACCTAGAACATCACTAGTTAGTTCCGTTTGCAAAGGAGGACGATGGGATGGGCCAGGCAATGGGTGGGTGCAGCCTCTTAAAGGTATCACAGCGCTACGGAGGCGGTGAAACTGCTGGACCGGAATCTGCGAGAAGAGAAGGACCCACGTCTGTGTAACTGGATGGAGGGCAGAATGTACTAGTCGTAGGCAAGGTTCTTGATCTGCAAGGATCAGGTGGATTCTGGACTCCAGCCTCTCCCCGCTGGGACCTGCCCAGCTGTTCCTCGGCCTAGGGGTGTTTCCCCTCACGCAGCTGGCCCTCCGCAGACGCCCATCAAGCCCTCCTCAGTCCCCAGCCCCAATGTCTGTCCTTCCCCCTTTCTAATCCTGAGCATCCCTGGCTCTTGTCAAGATAGTGTGATGCCAATATTTTGTTGGAATGGTTAAAAAGAAGGAATCAAGTCCTATTGCTAGAGAAATACTGCTTAACAAGTATTAAATTGAAAGCCACTTTATATTTTAAAGTGCTGTTAAGAAAAAGGCACCGTCAGACCTCAAAACTCAGCACATCAGTAGCATCGGAGGAGGGTGGGCAGAGAGAGAGACAATAAAGAGATGATTTAATTCAGTCATTATGACCACAAGGCAATAGCTGAACCCGAAATGGGCCCTTTGGGATGGCAGTTAGGTCCTTAGGAACAGAATGAGTCTCCTGTGTCTCAGCGCGAGGAGGGAGCAGGGACGCGAAGAGGTGGTTTCTTCGGATGCCCTGATGCCCGTGACACCTTCCTAGCCCAGAGTTCCAGACAGTGGCCTCCTGGTGGGGAGCCAGGATAAAGCCTTCTCTTGTGCAAACTAAGGGGCAAGAAACGCCCCTCCCTCGGGGGCCTCCATGGGCAAAGCCAAGGTCGGTTCAAGAGTCAAGGGGCAAAGGACACTCAGTGGTTCCACTGTATTGGGGAACACTATCCCCACTCCTTGTGGCACCGGGGCCTGGCTGGCATGGGGCAGGTGCACGTTACACCCCCTCACTCCCCAAGGGACCCGCTTCTCCTCGGGCCTTTGAAATGTCTACAGACAACTCCCAATGCCAAGCTTCTTAGCGCTGCCCTAAGCGGGCATTGTCTCTTTACAATCTTTCAGCATAACATATACCACAGTTGAGTTAAAAAAATCTGACTTGATCTCAAAATATGCCAAATCAACAAAGAAACTGTACAGTGTTTACGTTAGTAAATATTTGTTCTTTGTACATAGTCTTCAGATAGGAGAGCGTGACTCCGGGCTCAGATGTGTGGGTGAAAGTCAAGGTCATTTCTAGGAAAGTGGTGTGATGACTAACTTCCTTCTCAGAACTGTTTCTTGGGCATCTTTCCTGACAGTGGGGAGGAGAGTCCAGATTATGGCTCAGTGAAGAGCCAAGGATATACCCGGCTGAAATGCAGCCCACATCTAAGGACAGATATTTCAATAACTTCCAAACAGACAAACACTAGGAACCTCAAACGTTTTCAGACTTTCTGACTTCTGATTGGTAGTCCACCTCTTTCCATTTAATTAGCAGGGAAGTAAAACAGAAGATGGTAGCTGGGCCCAGCTGGTGTGGCTCAGTGGTTGAGTGTCGACCCACAAACCAAGAGGTCTCTGGTTTGATTCCCAGCCAGGCCACATGGCCAATTTGTAGGCTCAATTTGCCATCCTCAGTAGGGGGCGCGCAGGAAGCAGCCAATCAGTGATGCTTCTCTCGTTAATGTTTTTATCTCTCCTCCTTTCCTCTCTCTAAAAATCAGTAAAAATAATTTTTTTTTTAAAAGATGGTAGTTGGGACAATTTCCCAAAGAGAGGAAGAAATATAACAAATTACCTGCCCCTTCCTTCTGAAATCGCCTGCTCTAAGAGGCCCTGGTCTCACCTTCACAGGAAACCATAGGAGACTGTGGGGAGAGAAGCCCTCCATGTCCCCACCCCCAGTCTAATAGAGACAGGAATGAGGATTCAAATAGCGGCCCTGGGCACGCCAGTGGGGTAAGTGAGCCTCCTGAGAGGGACCCCATCCCTGCCCCCCACAGTGTTTGCTGTGGTTTGATTGTCCAGCCGCCCCACAGATGGCTGTGTTCACCATCGTGTGGATGAAGTTGATGGAAGTCGCAGTCACGATTCCTCAGGGCCCTAGAGATGGACACGCTTCCCTCTGAAACGTGGCACTCTAGCCTCCTCCCTCTTTAAGGCTGAGGCAGGTCCAGGAAAGGGACCACTGGGGTAGGGGGTCCTGTAAGCCACTGAGCTAGCAGCCCCTGGACCACCTCATTCTGGAGAAGGACTTTGCTGAGGCCGCACTTGGGGACATCTCTCCAAGAGCAAAATCACAAGCGCGGCTCTTGGTTGGGTAATTCTGTTACATCGCTGCCAAGAACTCCAAAGGGCTACTGATTCTCCCCTCCCGTTACAGAGGGACACACTGCCACTCCTTTTTAAACGGCTGCAGTCTGTGCTCCAGCGTTCCAGCAGGGAGCACTTTCTGCTGGGGGTGTCCCAGTGCCAGGATCTGCCCCCCCTGCATGTGCAGCAGAGGCTGTTGAATGGATCTGGGAGCCCTGGTTGAGTCAGCAGTGTGTTCAGGAATTCTCTTTTCTTGTCTCTAATATGGCGCAGCACTTTAACAGCAACACCGTGCCGGAGATTAAAGAAAGCTCTTTTCAAAAGTTTCCCTTACTAATAACTGTTTGCCACAAAGGACGTCCAGGAAACTGCACTGGGGGGGGGGGGGAGGAAGGAGGAAGAGGAAGAGGAGGAAGAGGGGAGGAGGGAGGAGAGGAAGGAAGAGGAAGGAGGGGGGAGAAGGAAATGAGGAGAAAGAAAAGGAGGAGGAGGAGGAGGAGGAGGAGGAGGAGGAGGAGGAGGAGGAAAAGGAGGAGGTGGGGGGGAGAGGAAAGGAGGAGGAGGAAGAGGAATAGGAGGAGGGGGAGGGAGGGGAAGGGAGGAGGAGGAGGAGGGAGGAGGAGGAGAAGACGAACAATTCGGTAGGAGGGGGGTCGGGGGATCTTCTCAAATCTCCAACTCTCCCTGTTTTTGTGGGAGGGAGCCGCCCCTCGGTTTTCTTCTTCTCCAGACGAGGGTTGGAGGGGAGGAGGAATCTCTTCTATCAACCCCCTCTTCTTCCCGGCTTCTTAGGACGCCTCCTCTCCCAAGCGAAAATCCCGCGGATTCTTCTTCGCGCTTATCTCACTCTTCTAGGATCTTCGGAGGAGGAGTCTTCTTCGAATCCTCCCAAGAGAGAAGAAGAAGAAGAAGAAGAAGAAGAAGAAGAAGAGTGAAAAACCTTTCCGCTTCGCCTGTGTTTGCTCTGGACGGTTTGCCCGCCTCCATGGGGCAGACGCTGGAGGAGAGGGGTCTGCCTGGGGAGTCCCGCGCAGGGCAGGGCGGAGGGGCGGCAGCCTACCTTTCCGGGCCTGCTGGATGTATCTGGCCAGCAGCGCGCCCAGGTGCGCGGCGGGGGGCTCGCCATCCCCCCTCGGCACCGCCCTCAGCTGTCTCCGCGGCGCCTCCTCGCCCCGCTGCGCCCCGGGGCCCTCGGGCTCGGCGGGCAGCACGGGCTGCGCCAGGGTGCCCGCCGCCAGCGCCGCCAGCAGCACGCACAGGCACACGCCGCTCTTCATGGTCGCCGAGCACGGGGAGCTGTGAACGAGAAGAGGGGGCAGCTGCGTGCTTTCGCGGAGGGAGGGCCGGGCACCCCGGGGACGGAGACGGGGGCTCGGCCCAAACCTGCGCGCCCGCCACAAACTAAGCGCCAGGGCTCGCCGAGCGCACGGGGCCCGCGGCCACGGGAAGCGCGTCGGGGCGCAGTCGGCTTCTCTTTGGGGTGAAGGACACCGCCGTCTGGGGGCGGACAGAGACCCCGTCTTCCGCCCTGTTAGGCAGAAGCAATGTCCTGTTTGCTTCTACTCTGAGGGAGTGTTTGCCGAGGTCTCTCTTCCAACTGCCCACGCAAGAGACGGAAGACAGCGGGAATCTCCTGCAGGGGAGCGGGGCCGGAGACTCAGGCCCCGGAGAAGGTCTCACCTTCCCGACAGTAAGAAGCGTTTGCTAGGGGAGCATATGGGGAGGGGGGCGGGGAGGAAGAGAAGCACTTTAAAAGGTGGGAGTGACAGGTAAAAGCCTTATTTGTAAAGTTTCTTCCAGATGGTCTAGGCCAGGGGATGGGCACGAGGCAGGGTTTGCAACACGTCAGAACTACGGGCTCTGTCCCCGGGGGTGGGCTCGGCTCCGCTGTATTTCAGATCCGCGAGCAAATAAAACACACACTCACACACACACACAGCCCCAAAGACCAGCGTTTAGCGGGATGGACTTAACTCGAAGTCCTCGCAGTGGTGCGTCCGAATAGATTGGAACGAATACACTGCAAGGTACCGCTCCCTCCAGCGGGCAAACCCCAGTGCGCCAGCTCATCCCCGCAACCGCATCCCCTCAACCGGACATCCCCGCGTGGCCTGAGGACGCAGCTGCTCAGCGCCCCCGCCCCAGCCCTCACCGGCGCCTCTGACTGTAAGACCGTCCCTCCAGCTGCAGGAGAGGCCACAGGACACAGGACCACGGGTGCAGGGGCGCCCAGGGCAGACAGCGCTCCGGGGCTCCCCTCGGGGAGGGAGCGCGGGGACCTACCTGCAGGAGGAGTGGCCGCTGGCAGTTCTGCACGGAGCGGCGGGAGCCCAGCCAAGTTCAGGGCCGAAGGAGCGCTGCCTCCGCTTAAATAGCGCCGCCCGGAGCCGCGGGCCACTCAGCGGCCGCCCCCGCCCCCGCTCCGCGCTGACGCCGCCCGGCCCCTCGCACGTGTCCGGGGGCGGCGGGGGACAGCCCAGTGAGCGGCTCCTGGAGAATGGGGGGGTGGGGGGATGGGAAGCCTAAGACTCGGATCTCCCCCGTCCCCCCAAGAGAAACTGCCCGCGTTTAGACGCGAGGGGCCAGAGGGGGAACTGGGGGTCGGTGGGTGGACACGCTGGCCAGGGCTGGTGTCAGCAAAGTGCAGGGCTGGGCGACAGGGGGTGTCGCCCCTCTGGGCACCCCAGGCGGCTGCTGGTCTCTGGACCGGGGAGCTGTCTCCCGGGGGCAGGGAGGGGGGCTTCACTTTCTTCTCAGCCCGGGCAAGGCCCCCAGGCCTCCAGGACCCCGAGAGCCAGGCGCTGGGTCCGTGGGGGCTGCACCACCCGGGGCGGGGGGGCGGAGGAGGGGGCTCTGTTCCCGCCGCTGTAGCAGGAGGGGGGCCTCGGGCTTGGCTCAGAGTTGGGCAAAGGGCTGGGTTCTCTTCGGGGGCCCAGTTGCCTGCCTGCCCTCAGCGCTCGCGGCATCTGGTCGCCAAGTGGCGCCAGCGAGCGCCCTTGAGAGCCCCCTCTCCGTTCCGCCGCCCTGGACATCCTCCCTGCCTGCCTTCCCCGACCCGAGCACTCGCACCCCAGGCTCCGGTGGCTCTGGCTTTGAGAGGAGACCTCACCCATCCTCACTGACCCGCCCCGAGCGGGAAGGGGAGACCCCGAGGCGCTGGGGCGCCCTTCCTTGCTCACGGAGCCCCTGGCTGCTCCGAAGCAGGGGGACTGGAGCCAGCCAGCCGCGGGGTCCACACCCATCTCCCCTTTGACATCTGCTACCTGGTGCCAGCGTTCAGCGCCCCTGAGAGGGCTCTGCCAACCCCATTTCACCAACGGCACGCAGGCCCCCAGCCGCCCCAGCCTGGCGGTCTGTCGCTACCCATCCTGTGATCCATCCCATCCATCCGGGGCCCTCAACCCCTTCCTGACCCTCCTCTGCCTCATGGAGAGAGATTTGGAGTTCTTTCAAAATCCGAATCTATGCTCAGCCTTGGGTCCTGGATGATGGGACTGTGAGGACAGCTCCTGGGGTCCTGGTGCCCCCCACGCCCTCAAGCTTGGCAGGGAGAAGGTGTAGGGAGAGGGTCTAGGATCCTGGGCATGGGATTGGCATGAACACACTCCAGCCCTGCCTGAGGCCCCTGCTAGGCTCTTGGATATGTAGACCTCACTACTTTTTAATTAATTAATTAATTAATTATTTTTAAATATATTTTATTGATTTTTTTACAGAGAAGAAGGGAGAGAGATAGAGAGCCAGAAACATCGATGAGAGAGAGACATCGACCAGCTGCCTCCTGCACACCCCATACCGGATATGTGCCCACAACCAATGTACATGCCCTTGACGGGAATCGAACCTGGGACCCTTCAGTTCGCAGGCCAACGCTCTATCCACTGAGCCAAACCGGTTTCAGCTGTAAACCTCACTACTAAGAAGAATGAGTTTGCTTCTCAGTGCAAATGAAGACAGGGCGTTGCCAGGGGCTTTTCCCGGCTTGGAGGTTCTGTGTCTTACCAAGGGTGAGATGGTGATTCATTCCACCCCACGCCGTCCTCTTGTCTCAGAAAAAGAACCAGACAAGGGCGTTGTCCCTCTGTCCCCTCCACCCCACCTCCTTATCCTGAGTGAGACGGGCGGGCTGAGGCCCTGATGTGGAGGGTCCCTGCCTTCACCCAAGGCACCCACAGCCTGGGAACCGCACCCACACGCGGCATTTGGGAGAGAGGAGCAGTGAGAGGAAACCTGTGACTGTTGACTGGCTTTGGAATCTAGACGCTTCCATCTGATTGTGGGTGAAAGGAATTTCACTTTTGTCGAGAACTGGGTGGAATTTCCAGGGACACGAGAGAGCCTCCTAATTTATTATTTATAGAATTTAAACTTGTTACAACTGATCCCCATTTAAAGGAGGTCAGGGGACTGTTTGCTGTCATTAGAGACCTATTTGTTTGAGAACGTCTATTTTGGGCCTTGAATTTTTTTTTCTCTCTTGGACACGTGTTAGAAACACCATTATTTATCTTGGAAGTTTTCAAAGGCCCACGTAGCCAGGGGCACCTGCCAATACAGGGACTGACCGGCTGGAAGGAAAGAAGTCACTGTGGTTGAGGTGAACAGCTCTTCCTTTTCCCAAGGATGAGTTCCTTTAGAGTCTCTCGTCTTAGTTCTCGTGCTCACAACAGCAGGGCTGAGAGGGGCCTGTGGCTGCAGGAACTGCCTTTGGGAGTGACCTCATGGAGCAGGGGTGAGGGTGCAGGGAGAGAAGAGACAACCCAGTGCATGCTGGTGGCAGGTCTCTGCTGTTGCCTCAATCCCCCGGGCACTCAGTGAGGTACCTCTTGGAACTTGCCCCATAACTAGCCCACCTGAGGCCGGTGGGGAGCTGGGGGCCTCTACCCACCAACTCCATGCACGTTGACTGGCCGCTCGCTGCTGAAGGGGTGTTAGCCTTCCTTCACTTCCAAATATGCCTCCCTGTTCCTACGGTGCCACAGAAAGCCCGGCCCAAGATGGGGGGAGGGGTGCACGGTCAGGTCCTGGTGAGATCTCCCCTCCTGGCCTTCAGATGCCTGTCTCCTCACTGTGTCCTCACGTGGTGGCGAGAGAGAGCAAGCTCCCTGCTTTTCTTCTCACAAGGGCACTGGTTCCCTCATGAGGACCCCACCCTCCTGGATCTTAGCCAACCCTAATGACCAGCCAAAGGCCACACTTCCTTTGAAGGTCGGGGCTTCCGCATATGAATTTTGGGAGGTCATGGACCTTTAGTCCGTGACAGACTGCACCCTGCCTGGATGTGGGAGAGGATCTCACTCTTTCACTGGCGTTTCTAAAAGGTGGGTGGTCTCAAGGAATCTCAAATCTGCGGAGGACCTTGGAGGCCGTCATTCCATGGTCACGAATCCCAACGCCACCGGGTGGAGTGAAGCAGGCTGGCTTAAGAGAGGCAAGAGTGACATCACAATGATAAATGTCCAGGGACACGGGTCGGCGGTACTTAACCCCACTGGGGAGCATGGGAGCGGCGTGGAACATCTTCGTCAGTGTTATGTCACCTTCGGGGACCAAGGGAGTGGAGGCATGTGTACATCAATGCTGTTTAGTCACTGGTGGAGGGCAGTTCGGGGTGGGGTCATTAATTCCCTGGCACCTCAGGCCTGCTGCTAATCCTTTGTAGGTACTCAGAGTTAGAGCTACCATATTTCACCTTAATTTCCTTGGTACATAGCAGTTACCCAATCAATATTTGTTGACTGAACCCTTCATTTATATGAACATATCCAGGCACTGTGACTTATTCACTCGGGGCAAGGATTATGCTGGACACATGTTTAGTGATGAATAAATAGTGTTAACGATATAAACAATAATAATGACAAGCAACTCTTGGTTTAGTTGACTGCGTTGACAAGGCATGCCGTGATGAATAAAAAGTCATTTGCTGGCCTTCCTCTGGGTCACTGACTCCCAGATAGCCACCCAGCAAATTGTTTTTAGCACGATTCCTGACAGCCAGGGATGTGAGAGCTATGGGAAATGAGAAGTCCCCTTAGGAATAGGTGACAGGAGTGGGAAGAGGTCAGCTCCCTGCCAACCGATCTCCATGCAGAACGAGCCTCCACTTTTCAAACTAATGCTGGAAAGCCCTCCAACGATGGTTGCCAAGGTAACGGGCAGCCAGTGTCCTCAGGCCTGCCCTCTGGCTCACTTTGCTTTGTAGAAATTTTAGGGCAAGCCCCCTGGTCATACTTGGGGAAAGCGAATGGAGAGGGTGCAACTCCTTGAGAGGCAGTCTGGGTCTCCGGGGTCCTGCTGTCACATCCTCCCTTGGGAGCTGGCCTCTTGCAGCAGGGACAGGTGTGTGCTCCTGCCCTGTGCCAGCCGCCAGCAGAGACACATCCCGCCTACCCGCCCACCAGGTGCTTGATGGCTTCCGTTCCCTCTCCTTTGAGTGAAAGCTTGAGGACACAGCTGTTCCAAGAGAGCCTTATCAGGAAGACTCTTGTCTTAACAATGAAATGAAAATGGCTTGAATTGGTAGTAAATGCAAATAATTCAAAATTGAAGGAGTAGGAGTGGTATGAGTGAAAACTAAGTCTCCTCTCATCCCTGTCCTTCCACCATCCAGTTTGTCCTTCCTTGAGGCCAGGAGTGCCTCTAGTTTCTGGTAAACTCTTCCAAAGACAGTCTATGCACATACAAGCAAATCAAAGATATCTCTCTCTCTCTCTCTCTCTCTCTCTCTCTCTCTCTCTCTCTCTCTCTCTCTTTCTCTCTCTCTCCATATATAATCTCCACATGGAAGCACAGAACACTTCATGGTCTCTACTTTGCCTTTTTCACTTAAAATATACAGTGAGGTCAGCCTGCATTATTGGCATCACTCTGCCTCAATATCTATAGAATACTCCATTGAATGGATGTGCCTTCTTTTATCCAGCCAGTGCCCTGTTGATAAAAGTTGAAATAGTTTCCAATACTTTTAAATAATAACCGAGGCTCTAGTCTATCCATCATTCTGCACATGCACAGTTTACCTATGGGATGAATTCCTAGAAGTGGACTTGCTTGGTTAAAGGGTGGGGACACTTAAAATGTTGATAGTCATTGGCATGCTGCCCTCCATGGCAGATGTTCCCAGCTGTCCAGGACAGCATGTTTATCGTTCCTTGATTTGAATGCTTCACCTCCAGCACCTTGGTCAGCTCCTTGGCCAAGCTCACTGCCATAGAGCATTAGCTCTGGGGATGGAGAGTGGGCCCCACTGAGCTGCTGGGGTTTCACCTTGGAGCCCCAGTTCTGTTTGAACTCCTGTGGCCTGTGTGTATGGATGGCAAGGGGCGAGTGATGCTCT